CAGCCCAGTGGGGTCAGGAGGTTGGCTACATACAGGGCATTGAGCAATTAATAAGCATATTGAGACTATGGGAGCCAGGTTTCTCACTGATGGAGAACAAAGAAAGGAAAAATTAAAAGGGAAAGCTAGAATAAACCCTGTAGTATTATATTAGAATTGAAACTATCAGTGTAAATTTTTACATAAATGCGAAGTGTGTATATATAACGTATACAAATATATATGGGTATCATTATATAATTTACATACATATGTGATATAAAGGTGTGTGTGTGTGCCTGTGTAATATATATATATTTCTTAAATCTGCTCACCTAGAGGACAGAGAGCAAGCCTCTTACCCCCTGGAGCAATGAGCAGAGCTACTACCTGGGTATTTATTTCTAATTACTGTTCTCTACTAAAAGGACCTGGAGGTCTCTGAAAAAATGTCTAGTTTCGGACCCCTTCCTTACACAAAAATTAACTCCAGATGGATTAAAGATTTAAACATAAGACCTAACACCATAAAAACCCTAGAAGAAAACCTAGGCAAAATCTTTCAGGACATAGGCACAGGCAGGGACTTCGTGAGTAAAACGCCAAGGGCAATGACAACAAAAGCCAAAATAGACAAATGTGACCTAATTAAACTTAAAAGCTTCTGCACAGCAAAAGAAAGAATCACTAGAGTAAACCTGCAACCAACAGAATGGGAAAAAATGTTCGAAATCTACCCATCAGACAAAGGGCTAATATCCAGAATCTACAAAGAACTAAAGCAGATTTACAAGAAACAAACCCATTCAAAAGTACGCAAAGGATATGAACAGACACTTTTCAAAAGAAGAAAAATATGTGGCTAATAAACATGAAAAAATGCTCATGGGTCATTACAGAAATGCAAATCAAAACCACATTGAGATACCATCTCAAGTCAGTTAGAATGGCAATAATTAAAATATCTGGAGACAACAGATGCTGGAGAGGATGTGAAGAAAAAGGAACACTTTTACACTGATGGTGGGAGTGGAAAGTAGTTCAACCATTGTGGAAGACAGACAGCGTGGTAATTCCTCAAGGATCTAGAAATAGAAATTCCATTTGACCCATAAATCCGATTACTGGGTATATACCCAAAGGATTATAAATCGTTCTATCATAAACGCACATGCAGACATATGTTCACTGCGGCACTGTTTACGATAGCAAAGACCGGGAGCCAACCCAAATGCCCATTGATGATAGACTGGACAAAAACCATCATTCTCGGCAAATTGACACAACAACAGAAAACCAAACATGGCATGTTTTCACTCATAGTCGGGTGATGAACAATGAGAACACGTAGGTACAGGGAAGGGAACAACACTCACAGGGCTAGGTGGAGGGGAGGAGAGGGGCGAACAGCGGGGGTGGGGGTCGAGGATGGGGAGAGATAACATGGGGAGAAATACCTGATGTAGGTGGCAGCGGCGGTGGCGGGGAGTGGGGGTGACAGAGAGGGATGGATGGAGACAGTAAACCACCCTGGCATGTATGTACCTATGCAACAATACTGCAGGATGCAGGATGTGCACATGTACCCCAGAGCCCAAATACAATTAAAAAAAATAAGAAATGACTAGTTTCAAGGCTAGAACATTTTTGTGTCAGAAAATAAAGTATTCAAAGAATAATAAGGACGTGTCAAAAGGACACAGCAGCTAGCTTAAAGCCTACACAGGAAAATCAGGTATAATTTGAGCATCAAGCCGTGGCTTGATGGCTCATTCTGGTGGCTCATTCCTATAATCCCAGCACTTTGGGAGGCCAAGGTGGGAGGATTGCTTGAGGCCAGGAGTTCCAGACCAGCCTGGGCAACATAGTTAAGACCCTGTCTCTACAAAAAAATGATAAGAAAAAGGAAAAAGCATTAAAAGTCATAACAGTAACTTAATAAGTACCCACTAGTCTACATTGATATAAATAAGAGGGGAAAGCAAAAACTCTTACAATAGAATGTCAACAAATAATGTAGATGGAATGTTAAAATTACGATTTGGCAACTATTATCATAATGACATGGGCAACAAATACCAGTGAGTGCTGACACTAGTGAGATAAAGTAGGAGAGAGGAAGAGGATATTTTCATAGTCTCAAAGTATCTTCACAAAAAAAATTTGCTAATCATAAAGAAAAATATAACTAGAGAAACATGGCAGACACCATCTTAAGTGATCAAAGTTCCCACCACCAGCAAGGGAACAAATCAACATCATGTGCCACCTGACAGGATGCAGTGAGAACCCAGCATCACCTCTGCAATATTCCTGCCAAAAACACACAATCAAGGTCTAATCATGAGGCAATAAGCAAAACCAAATTGAGTGACGTTCTATAAAATATCTACCCTCTATTACAAATTTTCAGTGTTGTAAAAGTTAAGGAAAGATGTATATTCCAGATTTAAGTAGACTAGACAATCATGACAACTAGGTGCAACTCTTTAATCTTGGATTGGACCCTTTTGCTATAAATGGCATAAGTGGAGCAGTTAACAAAACTTGAGTGGTGATTTCTGACTTGATTGGGATTCTTCGTACTGTTCTTCAAACTTTTACCTGGGTTTGAATTATTTCAAAATAAAATTATAAAATACTTCCAATCTTGTTGCATTACGTGTACTTCGATGGCATTGTCGTCTACCTTTCATAGCAAATGGACAACCAATTTATGACTTAAAGAATGGTATTGTGAGCTGGTTTGGAAATCCAACAATTATTTAAACATTTTTTAAAATGTTTTTTAATTGCACAAATGATACATAAATGCATAGTGCAATAGTCATATGATAAATTTAGACAACATTAAGTATTTCCCTTGGCTACCTCCCACTCATCTAAATTAACGAGTTATTAGTTTGTTGTGTTTCCTCCTAAATATTTTTCTATGCTGCAACGTGCTTATTCATGTCTCCACTATGTCTCAGATTGTTCTATGTTGGTACCTATAATTCACTTGTTTTCAGTCACTTATATTATTCCATGGTGTCAGCCATAACTTGTTACCACTCTTTTACTAGTATTTAGATATTTTTCAGTCTCTTATTTTTACAAACAAGACTCCAGTGAACATTTGCACATGTATTTTGCATATGTGCAAGTGTTTCTCTAGGTAAGATGTTAAGTGGAATGTCTGAATTAAAGGGCATGCTCGTTTAAGCAATTTAAATAGATGTTGACTATTCTTCTGCCAGTGCATTTAAAAAAACAACTATTCTTCTACCAGGTGAGTTTTAAGATATTATCTGTCTAAAAATATATAAAATCCTGATGAGACTTTGATGAAATTACAGTAAGTTACAGATTTAAAAAAATGAAGTTTTTTGTTGGCATCACTTCCTCTGGGACATCTTTATCCTTTTGCCACAACCATTTTCCTCATTTGTGTTAACTGAGCCTTCACTCTTTCTGAAGTCACATATCTACAGTATCTCAAACAGCAGCAGGGTCAGCATGCCTAGGCAGCTATTTCTTCCGTAATTCCATTTATGTTCAATTTGACTTTCACTTCCAGTGTTACATTTTTTTAGTCCTCTGCTACACTTTCATCTTTATTAGCCAATTTCCACTTTTGATTATCCATTTTTATAGAATGTGTATTTACCATTGGGAGACAAGCAATCAACACAACTACACTTTGCCATCTGTAAGTAAAGTGAATAACAGATGTGAAGTGACCAGTCATAGACAGCGTTTGAAAGAAGTGATGTAACTGGTCCCATCAGGATGCATGTATGAATTTCCTATTACTGCTATAACCAATTCCACAAACTTACTAGCTCAAAACAATGCAAATTATTGTCTTGCAGTACTAAAGGGCAGAAGTCCAAAATGGTCTTAACTGGGCTAGAGTCAAGGTGTTGGCAGGGATACATCCCTTCAGAAGGTTCTAGGAGATAATCCATTTCCTTACCTTTTCCAATTTTTAGAGGGTTCCTGCATTCCTTGGCCCCTTCTTCCAACTTTAAAGCCTGCAGTGTAGCATCTTCAAATAGTTCTGTTTCTTTGTCACATCTTCTCTGACTGACCATCTGCTTCCCTCTTATATAGACCCTGGTGATTAAAATGGAACCATTCAGATAATCCAGGATAATCCACCACCTCAAGATCTCTGACTTAATCACACCAACAAGGTCCCTTTTGCCATGTAATGTAACAGTTCATAGGTTTTAGGAATTAAGATGTGAACTTTGGGGTGGGGGGCGTTATTCTGCCTAACACAATATGCATTTCTTATTTACACAGTGGTTGTGATTTGAAGAACTATTCGTGAAGTTTGAATCTCATGCAATTACTTGTAGTTAATATCCACCGGTAACTAAAACTTGAATTGTGTTGCGGGGGATGGGGGGGGTGGGGCTCGTGTTATTAAGTAAACCATAGTAACTGGGATTTGTGCTTATCTGAATCATGCAAAGTGGGGAGGGCCTGTTTCAGGTCCAGTTGACAGGTCAAACAGAATGAGAAATTGCATGTGACTACACACACTGGCCCACGGCTGCAGAGAATGAGGCAGAAGTGACTTTCGTTTGCCCTCATGTTTGAAGAACACTCACAGGTAAACATATTGAGCTTTCTCTTGTGCCAGATCTTTCAAGTCTACCAGAACACTGACAGCACTTCAGATTTTAAGAAACATTGTAGGTAAATATGGAAAAAACTCGAGAAAGAATGGTATCTTCCTTCTTACTGCTGCCATCTCTGCCTTCCTCAATGCCCCCAAAAATTATGTCTAAGTCTCTTACACATTAATACCCAACTACTGATAATGCATTAAACTTTATAAAGCAAATATCTTTTTTTCTTTATTCTGATTAATAAACATAAAAGGGCTGTTCTGGTAACCAAGGATATAATCAGTGCTTCCTATGTGCTCAGATGTTGCTGAACAAGCTATGGGGTAAGTAAATAAGAAACACGAGTTTCTGACACTTAGCCCAACTACCATGTTTAACTAAACAACTGTTGATATAAAGTTTCCCATGAATTCATTTTATTTAAACAGCAAGATCAGCTCCATACCTCTGATTGAGATTACAAAGTATAATCTTTTCAGCATAGATTTTCTCACCATGCCACAAATAGAGGCACTAAGGTACTGATAAGGGGGTATTTTCCATCTCTGGCAGTATTATATTTACCTGCAATAAAAACATCTGATCTTATAGAACAGGATAACTCTTGAAGAGGTTTAGTTTATTTTATAAGTATTCCAAATACATTCATTGTATGAATTAGGGAAGGAAAAGCAGTAAGATACATTTCATGAATATTCATTCCTAGACTCCAGCCATACCAAGTCTTACCGCTTTATAGAGTAAATAATTTATTAGCCAATACTATTGTAAAATACGATTTCAGTACTCTAAAAGTGATATTAGAGGGGAAAGAAGTCACACACAATGCCTACCACCACCAGGGTGAAACCAAATCTTTATCCACCTATGGCTCCTGTCAGGGTCAGCAGAGGCAGCAGCTTCATTTTCTTCATGGTTTACCCAGACAGATGTGGAGCCAAAGTGCCAAGTGCATATTTCAAACATCTGTTCTGAATATGTTTAAAGCCACGGTAAATTACAAAAGGCAAATTCATAGATGCTCTTTGAAAGTGAGTGTAACTATTATACTTGGTATTTCACTTCCCCTAACCCCCGTAAGTTTTTGATGCTACAAAGACCCTGATACATAGTTTGAAACTCTCACTATAAAATTACTATGGTAAGTCTATGAAGACTTGAAAGTTTGTTTTCCTGAAGTAGGTGAAAGTGTCATCTCTGTTCTTTCCAGGTGAGTATATCTGCATAGGCTTCCTTGGGAGGACTTCATCAACAGCACAGTTATATATCAAAGTCCTTCAGCTCTCCCCAGCTGGCACCTATTTTCACTTTCACTTTCAACTTTACAGACAGTTTTACAGCACTTTCCATTTCATTCTTGACAATCTGAGCTACCTAAAGAAAACCAAAAAAAATATGGTTAACAAACTCTCTGTCCAGTCAAAGCATGTTTCCCAAGCCACCCACTGAGAACGTTATAAACCAGACTGGAGCTCTTCATCCAGTGGTACTTAAAATGCTAGGCCAGAAAATTTTTAAAAAAACAGACATCTCAAACTCTTCTTCATTGATGAGCAGGAGTCTCTGACACTTTTTGCTAGAATACTTGGGGCTTGGAAACCCTCAGGGAAAGATTGCACATTTTGTTCAGTTTCTCTAAGACAAAAACATCTCTGCATTGGCAATTTCTTAACTTATTAAGAATTATTACAAAATGGAACACTCTTAGCTCCTTTCTACCCATAAGGACTCAATATTTACACAGCCATGCTGGGGCCAGGGTAGAGTTCCCAAATCCTCATGCATAGGGAAAAAAGCTGTCAGCCTGACAATAGAGTGTCTTGGCTTCCTATGGCATGGACACGAGCATTGCAAAAATACCTGAACAACATCTTCCTCTGCCACTTCATATAAGAGTTCATCGTGGAGTTGAAGGATGAAGAAGCCTCCTCTGACTGGGCAGAACATCCCTTGCAGTTTTCTCTTTGGTAACAATCCTACTTCATGAAACAGTAGCAAAACTGATCAGCATGTTGCTGTGTCATAGAATATTTTTAGAGATTCTGAGTAACTCTGGGGAATTTTAATCAAGAGATCAAAACACAAGACTAAGAACCATCAGGAACATAACTACTTCCTGGTTGTTACCTACCCTAACTATCTGGCATAAACTCGTCAACTTCCTCCCAGAAAGAGGAAGTCTCACAAAGAAGTCAGTAAATGGGGTGTAAAGAACTCTGCTCCAAACTCTAGTCCAACTTATTTCTCATGAATAACATTTTCTCATTCCATGGAGTCCCCCTACCACCATCTGAGTGTAATAGCACCAGGGAGGTATGGGGCCTGATTCCTGCCCCAGGAAAGCAAACTAGTATTGTTAGGCAGTGCTTCTTAAGGGGGACACTCCCTCATGTCTTTGTATGGCCAGAAGTGTCACCGTGATAGAACTGGTACTTCCCCAGTTGGACCGTACACTCTAAACAAGTAATTCTAAACCTGGGCTCCCGATGTGGAATTCAGAGAGTATGTAAATCCCTTGCAGTTATATGTAAGTGTCTATGTAAGTTTTTCTATGGAGATAATCCATACCTTCCAGTAGCCATAACTCCAAAATATATATTAGACTTAGTCACTATTTCCTCATTAGCTGGACCTAGTGGTACAGATTATGCCCTTCTTAACACAAAGATAAAGCTCAACATAAGCACCTTTACTGGAACTGCTTTTACCTGGATCTGCTTAAACCTCACAGCAGTTATCTTCCTTTCTGCTGTCCAAATTCCCTATTTATCTTTCAGGCCCAGCATGAGTACCGTCTCCCTCAGTGTATCTGGTGCTTCCCTCTGAGAGAGTTCTTCAACTGTCACTATATGCAGTGCCAGTTTGCTCAGAGGCAGCTCTGACACAGTAGGCAAACACAAACACCCGAGGCTGGAGCAAGCTGCTTCCACACCAGGACTGCAAAGGCTGTACCTCTGTTCACCAGTTTGGCTGAAGTCTGATCTGCCCCATGAAGTCACACTTAGCTCATACTATTGACTGTCTGGATGCTCTAACCTTTCTGCTTTCTGATGACCATGACTTTGCGCTCTTGATTTCCCTTGGCTACCCAGCTTCTGACCCAGAATGCCATGATGCTCTTGTTCCCCATGTGTACTGCTTCCTCATGCTCACCTTCCTTTCATCCCGCTGACCTAGCACTACTTTAAGCTGCCATGACACCATGAGGTCTTCCTCAGTGACAGAGCCATATCACCTTCCACTGACTCTTAAAAGTCATTATTGTCTGTATCCTTATTTTGAGATTTATCACTCTGCTGTGTGGAATTAATACAAATATTTCAGTCAGGTATCATACCTTACTCTCCTTTCTTAAATAGACTTTAAATTTAAACATAGATTGATAACTTTTATTTCTAAATCCCCAAAACATACAGCACAGTATTACTCCACAAATAAGTTTATATATTCTCTCTATAAATAGAAATGTGTATGTGTGTGTGTATACACACAGTCCCACACTGAAAATGAATGAGGGGCCTCAGGTATTTTGAGGGGGACTGATGACGAAATTAATCATTCTCATTTAATGAGAAAATAAACTTTTGTATCTATGTATTTTTGCACATAAGTGAACATGCTATAACTGGCTGTATTGTTCTCTATAACCTGTATGTATGTCTCTTCTAGAAATAGCAAATCTCATTCTCAATAACTGACCATGACCTTTCTGCCCCATCTCCAAGCTTTTTCTTTCTCTATATGCACCAAATCTTCTTTTTTTTTTTTTTTTTTTAAGATGGGGTTTCACCATGATGGCCAGGCTGGTCTTGAACTCCTGACTTCAGGTGATCCACCCACCTCAGTCTCCCAAAGTGCTAGGATTACAGGTGAGAGCCACTGCACCTGGCCTATGCACCAAATCTTAATTTCTTCCCTGGAAAATTTAAAACATGCCTGCTGGCTGGGTGTGGCTCATGTCTAATTCCAACACTTTGGGAGGCCAAGGCAAGCGGATCACTTGAGGTCAGGAGTTCTACAACAGCTTGGACAACATGGCAAAACCCCCTCTCTACTAAAAATATATTTTAAGAAATTTGCTAGATGTGGTGGCGCACTCCTGTAATCCCAGCTACTCAGAAAGCTGAGGCAGGAAAATCCCTTGAACTTGGGAGGCAGAGGTTGCAGTGAGCTGAGATCATGCCACTGCGCTCCAGCCTGGGTGACAGAGTGAGAATCTGTCTGAAAAAACAAAATAATAAAACACGTCTGCTGTCATGGTTTGACAATCTAAGTGACAGTGAAATGGTATTTAAAGCAGAAATATGGACATGTGACAGAAGAGAAAAACAAAATTTCACTGTTCTTGTTAGTGCAAGAAATAATTTATCCAAGCAATAAACCGAGACCTCAGGTAAATATTATGAAATTAAGAACAAGCAAACAACATCATCAAAGGAACATATGTGATAAAGAGATCAAGAGTACATTCTAAGACCAGAGAACACTGAAGGTCATAAATAGGAAAATGAACGTTTGTAACATACGGTCTGGAGACCAGAGAGGATCCCAAAATCTGCAGTCAAAATTACTTTCATAACAACACTATGAGGTTATTTGTCTTTTTCAGTCTCATTTTCTTATAAGAATGCAGCAAGGTGGCCAACTGTCCTGGTACAGAAATGATTCCCACATCCTGGGAAACCCATGAGTCTCCTAGAATTGAGACATGTATCACCCCAGACTATACAAAGAGTTTCCCAAAGAAGGTTACAAGACATGGGCTATTACAACAGATTGAATACAGAAGTAGATACAAAAAGCCATCTGTGTTTTCTTAAGCCAAACATTAAACGGATTTACACATATGTAAAATAAAGCCACTTACCAAGAATTTTCTTTAGTTTTGAAAAGATGTATTTTCATAAAAATATGTGACACATCAAAATATGAGTTATTACTTTAAATGCTACTATATGTTTTAAAATTGCCTGTTTTAATTTATAATATGGTAAATATAGTAGACATAACCCACAAAAACAAAAGCTCTTTGAGATCTTCAATAATTTCTAATAGTATAACGTGAGACCAAAACATTTGAGAACTGTTGAGAAATAAAATAAAAAATACTTCTCATTTACATTTCCGATACAATTATTCTCACCATGTTACAGCACAGGCCTCATCTATGAACAAACCTGTTTGGTCACTTTGGAGCATACCCTCTCGATGACCATGGGATTTGAAGGTTGAGTGGAAGGTCTCTAATTGCTTCTGAATGTTAACTGTGGCTATTTTGACAATATCAGCTGCTGATCCTTGGACTGTTGTGTTGATAGCTTGACGCTCAGCCTATTAAAAACAATTAACAGGTGCTCCATCAGATATGCCAACATGGTTTCATACCTTCCACAGATCAGTGCTCACATCTGCAACAAGACTGGAAAGCTGGACTAAGATATGAACCTAGGACATCAACTATTAAGCTGCATCCTAAGAATAACAACTATAATGATCCAGGGCTCTAGATTCTGTGGTTTCCACATTAGGGCAGACAAAAATATAAGATCAGATTGCTTCAGTTTAGAAATCTTCACTACTCAGTTAGGATCCAAAAACTACACTGCACTTAGAATGTATTTAGTTCATCAGTGCTCTAGCTGTTCTAGACATCATTCTAAAAGATCTACTCCACGAAATAATCTTAATCCTAAATAAATAGAGTATCATTCTTTGGGATGTGGGTTGGAATGTCCTAAGCACACCCTCTATACCAATGGCCCCTTGATCTTATGTAGAGTTTGGTCCCTGCAGGTTTGGAGCCCTCTGATGTGATTCAGAGCTTTTCATGGGTTGCTGAGGCAAATCCTTAACTGCTAGTGAAAATGTACATCCTAGATCCCTGGGTATCCAGTTACAACTTCCTTGAAATGACTGCTGTCAAATGCTTTTTAGCAGAGAACCATGCCTACTAAAATTAATCATCTTGGAAGAGTAGAGGAAGGAGTCTGGGTTAATATCCAGGAGTAATCTATATATGAATGTAATTCCCAGTGTCCCAAAATGCCTCAGAAAATGGAAAAGGTCTACTCCAGGGAGGGAGGTCAATGTAGCATGAGAGGTATTCTCTAGTTCTGTCACCTAAGCTATACCCAACTTCTAGTATATTAAATGCTTGCAATCTCAGCTCCTCAGGAGGCGAAGGCAAGAGGATCAGTTGAGGCCAGGAGTTTGAAACCAGTCTGGGAAACAGTAAGACCCTGTCTTTAAGAAAAACAAAATAAAGGTCGGGCAAGGTGGCTCACGCCTGTAATCCTAGTATTTTGGGAGGCCAAGGTGGGTGGATCACCTGAGCTCAGGAGTTCAAGACCAGCCTGGCCATCACGGTGAAACTCCTTTTAAAAAAAAAAAGAAAGAAAAACAAAATAAAACAAAAAAAATACTAATAAGAGGAAGAAAAGGCTGGACACAGTGTAGGAGAGAATGTAACCCATAACAGGTTCCTACAAATTAATTTTTTAAAATGCAGAAAACTCAACAGAAAATTTAAAAAGAAAACCAGAACAGGTATTTACCCATGAAAAAATAAATGGTTAATACACATTTGTAAGGTTACCTCAGTAGTAGCCAAGGAAACGCATATCAAAACTATAGAATACTACTTTATACCCACCAGAATAGCTAAAATTATATTAGTTTAATAGCAAGTGTCAACAAGAACGCAGAGCATTGAGAACTCACATACTTTTCTGACGGGAGGACAAACTGCTATAACCTCCACAGAAAACAATTGGCTTTATCTACTGAAGTTGAAAATATGCAGCAATCCTACCACTGTGTCTTTACCAAACATAAATGCATGTATATGTGCACCAAGAACCTTGTACAAGGATGCTCAAGGCTACAATAGCTTCAAACTGAAAACCCAAGTTCTCATCAACAGAAAAATAGATAAATTATGGTATATTCATATAAGAGTATACAGCTATTCCTACATGAAACAACAAGAATGACTTGCCCACATAATTTTGAAAGAAGCTAGATACTAAATATACATACATGATGTATCTAGAGCTCAAAAATATGCAAAGCAAAACTATAGTGTTAGAATTATAACAACGGCTATAACTGGGAAGGCGATGGGTGGTGATTAGGAGGATGCATGAGGGATGTTTCTGGGGCACTGATAATATTCTGTTTCTTGACCTGGGTGGTAGTTACACAGGTGTAGCTCTGTGATAATTTAGTGAAACCTACATTCTCTATGTGTGAGAATGTATTTTTCACTACAACAAAAGTTTGAACAAAAGCAAAAACCAAAACAAACAAAAACCAAAAAATAATCTGGCTATGTTTATTCCTAATTCAGAGGGCTGGAATTTTTTTTTCCACAGCAACAACATAATGAATCAGAACTAATATATTTGGCATGAAAAAGTCTTATTACTCTCTCACATCTTTGGGTGAAATAATATTAATTCTCACAAACGTGATTTATTTACATTAACAACTATATATTCCATTTTTTATCATGCAGATTCAAAAAATAATAATTAGATTCCTATTAGATCAAGTCCAAATTTCTCAGCCTGCCATTGAAAGCCTTCTGTCATTTAAAAGAAGCCTTTTTGTCTCCTAGCTTCTAGGTGGCTCCATCTGTCCAGGAGAAAATTATCTATGTGACAACTCAAAACTCTCCATTCCTACTAGTTTGGCTTCTAGCCAGTTCTCACTCAGTTATCCTTTTGTGATTGTCTCTTTCTCATTCCCAAGAGCCTAAACTTTAAATAGCCTCCAAGAGTCTAAGTCTTTCCTTCTCCCTGAAACCTAAATAATTAAGTATATAAATGATGTTTTCATATTTTTTTGTTTGCATTATCTCTTCCAAGACTTAAAATTTAGGTTGCCTAGTCCATCAACTAAGGTTACTAAAGTTACTAGTTCACATGGAGATACAGTAAAAGCCTGATAAATATCTGATATCTGCATGTGGATATATGGGAGGCTAGAGAGTAAAGAAGTAACGAAAAATCAACCATTCCTCCTTGGTATCTAAAAGCATTAATGCTCTGGAGGCTTTGAGCTCCAGACAGAAGTTTAGCTGGGCATTTTCTTTCTTTTTTTTTTTAGCTGGGTATTTTCATTACACACAACATCTAATGAGCACTAAAACACAAAATTATGGGTGAAAGGCAAAAAACATCTAGTTAAAATAGGAAGATCTGAACTATACTACAAGTTTAAATATTTAAGTACACAGAATACTTTCATGAATCCCAATGAATTCAGAAAAAGACTGAGCAAATATCAATAAATCTTTTAAATGCTGTTAAAAATAGCCTTATTCACTACTTGGAGATATCCTAATAATCTCTGGTGAGATAGTGCTTTTTGGTTTTTTGTTTTTTTAAACACAGGGTCTCATTCTGCCACCTAGGCTGGAATACAGTGGTTCAGTCATGGCTCTCTGCAGCCTCCAATTCCTGGGCTCAAGCAATCTGCCCACCTTAGCCACCCAAGTAACTAAGACTACAGGAATAGACTACCATACCCAGCTAATTTTCTATTTTTGGTAGATACTGAAGTCTCACTATATTGCCCAAGCTGGTCTCATACAAACTCCTCCTCAAATAATCCTCTTGCCTTAGCCTTCCAAAGTGCTGGGATTACACGCATGAGCCACCGTGCCTGAGCAGACAGTGCTTTTTTTTTTTTTTTTTTTTTTTCCTGAGATGGAGTTTTGCTCTTGTCACCCAGGCTGGAGTGCAACGGCGTGGTCTCGGCTCACCGCAACCTCTTCCTCCTGGGTTCAGGCAATTCTCCTGCCTCAGCCTCCTGAGTAGCTGGGATTACAGGCACACGCCACCATGCCCAGCTAATTTTTTGTGTTTTTAGTAGAGACAGGGTTTCACCATGTTGACCAGGATGGTCTCGATCTCTTGACCTTGTGATCCACCCGCCTTGGCCTCCCAAAGTGCTGGGATTACAGGCATGAGCCACTGCGCCCGGCCGGCAGACAGTGCTTTTAAAATAAGGAAACAGGCCGGGCGCGGTGGCTCAAGCCTGTAATCCCAGCACTTTGGGAGGCTGAGGCGGGTGGATCACGAGGTCAAGAGATCGAGACCATCCTGGTCAACATGGTGAAACCCCGTCTCTACTAAAGATACAAAAAAATTAGCTGGGCATGGTGGCACGTGCCTGTAATCCCAGCTACTCAGGAGGCTGAGGCAGGAGAATTGCTTGAACCCAGGAGGCGGAGGTTGCGGTGAGCCGGGATTGCGCCATTGCACTCCAGCCTGGGTAACAAGAGTGAAACTCCGTCTCAAAAAAAAAAAAAAAAAAAAAAAAAATAAGGAAACAAGTAGAATGAACCAAAAATTAATCAAAATTTAGTGACTGGTTAATCTCTGAGGAATGTTAGCAATCTGGTATGATATAACAAATTAGTGTATGGTATCAGAAACAAAGAATAATTAGCAAATATAAAAATTAAGTTTTGGTCAACGATGCAATCAAAAAAGATAAAATTTTTTAAAATTAAGTTTATTTACAACTTATTACCTAAGCTAATAAATAACTGGTTTACTGCAACAAAACATGTTTAAAATATTATTGAGTGCATGTTTACATTAATCCCCCAGACTCTGTTCAGCAAATACTGGCATGTGCCATCACTTCAGAAGTCCCTAATGAAACCAATGGTTGACCTAGTCTATACAGAAGATCCAATTAATATGCCAGTAACCCCTAAAAGGGACATTAGTAGTATTTCCTCTTTGCTGAAAAAGTATATGTCATTGAAATATTAAGTTAAAAATCCTGAAAAATTTCAACATACATGAGCTTTATGATAAGGGTTGTTGTCTTTGATTCCTGGCAAATATCTACGTCTTCCCAAAATGGTCTGAACAAACCCATCTCTTTTACAATTCTTCACTGTCTCTCTCATGAATTGGTTAATCCCTACAAAGAAAATGCAAAAATAATTAATTAGAACCAAAGTCTATCCTTTACTTCATTCACTGGTTTAAATATAGCAAAATATACCAAAAACCCTACCATGATCTACTGATATTTCTAATATATTGTTGAATTCCATTTGCTACTATTTTGTTGAGGATGTCTGCATAAATTTTCATCAGAAATATTGGCCTGTAGGTAGGTTTTGTTTATTTGTTTGTTTTGATGTGTCTTTGTCTGGTTTTGGAATCCTAATACCGGCCGCATAGAATAAGTTTAGAAGTGTTCTCTCCTCTTCTGTTTTCCACAATAGTTTGAGTAGGACTGGTATTAGTTCTTTAAATTTTTGGTGGAGGAAGCCATTGAGGTCCAGGCTTTTCTTTGTGGGAAACTTTTTATTTATGGCTTGAGTCTCATTACTTATTCTTAGACTGCTCAAGTTTTAGATTTCTTCTTGGTTCAATGTGTCTAGGAATTTACCCATTTCTTCTAGATTTTCCAAATTACTGGCATATTGTTGCTCATAGTAGCCACTAATGATCCTTTGAATTTCTGGGGTATTTGTCATGCTGTCTGTTCTTTCACTTATGATTTTATTTATTTGGATCTTCTTCTTTTTTCTTACTCGGCTAAAGGTGTGTCAATTTTATCCCTAAAAAAAAAAAAAAAAAAAAAAAAACAGGCCAGGTGCAGTGGCTCAAGCCTGTAATCTCAGCACTGTAGAAGGCCGAGGCAGGTGGATCACGAGGTTAGGAGTTTGAGACCAGCCTGACCAACATGGTGAAACTTCCTCTCTACTAAAAATACAAAGATCACCTGGGTGTAGTGGCACATGCCTGTAATCCCAGCTACTCAGGAGGCTGAGGCAGGAGAATTGCCTGAACCTGGGAGGCAGAAGTTGCAGTGAGCCAAGATCGTGCCACTGCACTCCAGCCTGGGCAACAGAGTGAGACTTCGTCTCAAAAACAAAACAAAACACCAGCTTATTTTCAGGCCAGGCACAGTGGCTCACTGTTGATATTCACTCACGGTGGCTGGCAAAATATTAAGGAAAATATTAGGGAAAGTTACAGATTATAACCTCAAACCTTTTGGAAGGCCAAGAGGTTTTATTGAGGCATGCTGAAGGCAGCCGCCTCATTAGCATTAGCATAGGAAAGAGAGAAAGACAATCAAAGGCCTTCCCAGTTTAAGTCTGTTTACCCCACATCCCTTTGTCTCTACTCTGTTTACTCATGTACACTTTGGGCTGGATAGTCCTCTGAGGGGGCAATCAAAGAGGAATCACCTGTTATTAGTGTTTACTGTGGGCCCAGAACCTAAAGCTTTTATCATTCATAAAACCACTCTTTTCACCATGTTTTTTTTTTTTTTTCTGAGACGGAGTTTCGCTCGTTACCCAGGCTGGAGTGCAATGGCGTGATCTCGGCTCACCGCAACCTCCGCCTCCTGGGTTCAGGCAATTCTCCTGCCTCAGCTTCCTGAGTAGCTGGGATTACAGGCACGTGCCACCATGCCCAGCTAATTTTTTTGTATTTTTAGTAGAGACGGGGTTTCACCATGTTGACCAGGATGGTCTTGATCTCTTGACCTCGCGATCCACCCGCCTCGGCCTCCCAAAGTGCTGGGATTACAGGCTTGAGCCACCGAGCCCAGCCTCTTTTCACCATGTTAATTATCCTCAAGCATGTTGACTCAGAACCTCTGTTATGAATTTGTGGATAGACAGGTGGTCTTGGTCAATTGGTTGAATTTTACCCTCTGAAAGCAGCCAACAGCCATCCCTAGCCCACTTGTATCACTGTAACGGTGTGAGAGTGCATTCATTCATCCATTATTGAGTCAGGGTCTATAGGACAGACTTCTGCAGGTGGTGGGTGACATTTTAGCTGATGCTTGTAATCCCAGGCTGAGATGGGCAGATAACTGGAGGTTGGGAGGCCAAGATGGCAAAATTCTGTGTCTATTAAAAATGCAAAAATTAGCTGGGCATAATGGCATACACCTGTAATCCCAGCTGCTTGGGAGGCTGAGGCAGGATAATTGCTTGAACCCAGGAGGTAGATGTTGCAGTGAGCCAAGATCACACCACTGTCCACCAGCCTGGGTGACAGAAAAAAACTCCATATCAAAAAAATAAATAAATAAAATAAAGCAATAACCAATAATGATTTGTTTTGTTGTTCTTTTGTATTGTTTTGTTTCAATTTCATTCTTTATTTCTACTCTGATCTTTATTATTTTTTTTTCCTCTACTAATTTTTGGATTTGTCTTGCTCTTTTCTAGTTCTTTAAGATGCATTGTTAGGTTATTTATTTGAAGTTTTCTCCTTTTCTTTTAAATGTGGGCACTTACAGCTATAAAACTCCTTCTTAGCACTGCTTTTGCTGTATCCCATTGGTGCTGGTATGTTGTATTTCCATTATCATTTAAGAAATTTTAAAATTTCCTTCTTAATTTTTTAATTGACTCACTGGTCACTGAAGAGCATATTGTTTATTTTCCATGTTTGTATAGTTTCCAAAATTCCTTGCTATTGATTTCTAGTTTTATTCCATTGTGGTCAGAGGAGATATTTGATATTAATTTAATTTTTTGAATGTTTCAAAACTTGTGATCTAACATATAATCTATCCTTGAGAATAATCCATGTGCTGAAGAGAAGAATGTGTATTTGGTAGCCATTAAATGAAATGTACTACAAGTATCTATTAGGTCCATTTGGTCTATAGTGCATATTTAGTACAATTTCTTAGATTTTCTGTCTGGAATATATGTCCACTGCTCAGAGTAGGGTGTTGAAGTCTCCAGTTATTATTGTCAGGATCTCTCTCTCTATTTTTAGCTCTAATGATGTTGGCTTTATATGTCCAGATGCTCCAATATTGGGTACATATATAATTCTTATATTCTCTTGCTTAATTGACTCCTTTTTCATTATATAATGACATTCTTTGTCTCTTTTCTTAATTTTTGTCTTGAAATCTATTTTGTCTGACACAAGTATAGTACTCTTAATCTTTTTTGGTTTCTGTTGGCATGGAATCGCTTTTCCATCCCTTCATTTTCAGTTTATATTTTTAGAGGTGAAGTGTGTTTCTTGTAGGCAACAGATCATTGGCTCTTGTTTTTCTTTTTTTCAAAATCTATGAAGCCATTCTAAGTCTTTCATTGGAAAGTTTAGTCCATTTACATGTAGTGTTTTTTTTTTTCTCCTTCTTTTCTTCATTCCTGTCTTTCATTTAATAAAGGTGATTTTTTTCCGGTGGTATGATTTAATTTCTTGCTAATTTTTGTGTATCTTGTATGTTTTTTATTTGAGTTGCCATGAGACTTGCAAAAATAATGTCTTATAACCTATTATTATTATTACTTGAGACAAAGTCTTGCTTTGTTGCCCAGGCTGGAGTGTAATGGCACAGTGTTGGCTCCCTGCAACCTCTGCCTCCCGGGTTCAAGCGATTTTTCCGCCTCAGCCTCCCAAGCAGCTGGAATTTCAGGCACCTGACATCATGCCCAGCTAACTTTTGTATTTTTTTTGTAGAGACAAGGTTTCACTATGTTGGCCAGGCTGGTCTTGAACTCCTGACCTCAGGTGATCCGCCTGCCTTGGCTTCCCAAACTTCTGGGATTACAGGTGTGATCCACCGCATCTGGCCCACTTTTTAACTTTTTATTGTTTCTATTTATATCTTATTGTACTGCCTATATCTTGAAAATCTGTTATAGATATTTTTGATTAATCTTTTTGTCTTTCCATTTAAGATAATAGTTGGCACATCACAATTACAATGTTATAATATTCTGTGTTTTTTTGTGTGTTCTTACTATTATCAGTGAGTTCTGTACCTTCAGATGATTTGTTATTGCTCATTAACATCTTTTTCTTTCTAATTGTAGAACTCTTTTTGGCATTTCTTGTAGGACAACTCTGGTGTTGATGAAATCCCTCAGCTTTCATTTTGTCTGAGAAAGTCTTTTTTTCCTCCTTCATATTTGAAATTCACAGAACTTCTCATCCTTAAAATTGTCTTTCAAAGAAAAAACAATTCACAGAACTATAAACCTTTTTCAGGGTGAATCTTATTATTATATATAAATTATACCATGACAAATAGGAAATAAAGATCATTTAAGACTACTCAAACTGCTCTATAACAGCAATTGTTCTCAGAGTTCCTCAAATATTTAATTAGCAATTGTCAGAATTCCTTGTATATATACTCAAGTTTACTGTTTCGAACTACAGCTATCTAAACCAAAGCATAAGTCAACTCCCAAATGTTATGGGATGTTCACAATGACACAGTAGATACACATCAACTACATTTTACTATTCTGTCTCTAATGAAAAATACAAAGTAAGATTATTACAACTTAGTAAGTGATAATAAGGTTGGTATTATTTACCCTCAACAATGCCTGATGAAAACTTCTAATAGATATTTCAACAGAAAATTCCATAACACAAATTTTTAAAAATATGGTAAGATGGTTGAAAAGAATATTATCTAGAAGATAAATTACCTGTGTATCTGGATTTGAAGGAGTCTATATAGCAAGCAGCATCATTTTCTTTAATGCCCATCTGCTCTCCCAAAGACTTAGCTCCCATTCCATAAATGATTCCATAGCAAATCTGAAAGGGAGTCATCCAACAAATAAAGCTTGTAAGTACACCAAATGTAAATAAAAGAGTTCGTTAGGATTGAAATTTTGGCAACCTTTTAATTTCACAGTGAGTCAAAAATGTTTAGATTGCTTTTGCTGAGTTATGCAGAGGCTGATACGCAACAAACATCTTTTCTGCCTTTCAGTATTACTTTTTGAGAGAGAGAGGAGGGCAGGAGGGAGTATGAATGAATAGGTGTTTGTGATAAAGGAAAAATTTATTTTTGACTATTTCTCCATTTTTTTTCTCTTTTTTTTGTTTATTTGTTTGACTATTTCTCCTTTATCCAGCAGTCTTTATAGCAACTTTTTACTCCTCACAGTACTTCATTAACTTCCACTTCAAGTGCCTAGGAGTCAGGGAAGAGAAGCATTACAAATGTCCCTCTCCTTGCCCTTGAACAAGACTTTAAAAATAGAAAGAGCAGGCTTCATGACTTTGTGACGGGGAAGACATAATTGGAAAAAAAAATCCTCCTCACCTCACAGCCACCTAAAATGCCACAACTGCAGAATTCATTTCACTTAAATACAAATAAAAACTCCTAAGAAAATTTCGGAAGCAATGAAGGGAAATTATCTATAAATAGGGCATTAAAGAAAGTCTGATTTAATCATAAGGACTGCCGGGGCTCAAAGCCCAGCTCTACCATTCACAAAATGTATAATCTTGCGTAAGTCACCTAACCTCTTTGCCTCTTAATTTCTTCATCTAGAAAATGAAGGTAGTAATACCTACATCATGGGATGGTTAGCTTTAAATGAGTTATTACTTATAACTGTTTACAGAACTCACATAAAGCAAGCTCTGTATAAATATCATTAAATAAAATCTAAAAAGATAATTTGCTTAAAATAATGATCACAATTCCAAAAAACTTTCAACATGATAAACTTTCAACATGATATAGCTAAAGTCCACCCCCCCCCGCCCCTGTGTTTTTTAATATATTGAGAGAGGGCTTTTTTCCTTTCCTTTTTTTCCCCACATTTTGTTTTCTTGTGACTCCTGTTGTTTTTTTTAACTCACGTTACTTAGTGCTGTCTGAGATCTCAGCCGGTCTCAGGGGTTAGGTGGTTTGGTACGTGGTGATACAAACAAAAACTGGTATAGCATAAACACTATTAAATCACGTGAGTCTATTAAATAGAAGCAGCTGTCTCCAGAGGATGTGTGTGTTGGATAGGAAGTCAGAGTGCCCAAGTTCTGGCATTCTGAATTTATTCTGGCTCTACTACTTACAGCTGCATGTCCTTAAGCAAATTACTTTCTGTGCTTCAGTTTCCTCCTCTATAAAATGGTGATAATAATAATAATAGCTATGCTATGTCATAGGTTATGAGAATTAAATATGGGAATGTTATCTATTTTACCAAGGGTTTGATTCTTGCTAAATGCAGGATCCCTTTGGGGATTAAACAGACAGAGAGGACAGAGCTGGCTTTTTAAATAGTGGAAGAAACAAGTGTTGGTGCTAACCAGGTGGTGGTGAGAGGAAATGTCCCATGCTCAATGAGCCAGTCAAGAAGTATAGCTGTGAGGCTGGGTGCAGTGGCTCACGCCTGCAGTCCCAACAATCTGGGAGGCCAAGGCAAGAGAATCACTTGAAGCCAGGAGTTCAAGACCAGCCTGGGCAACAAATTGAGACCCCATATCTCAAAATAATAATAATAATAATACAGCTGTGAGGAACTAAAAGTGTAAATGTGAAAGAAAAACAGCAGAATCTCAGAGTACAGTGGTGTGCATTCACCTCAGCCAGCAATCCTACTTCTTGCAAATGGTATCAGATTTCCCACAGGTTATATGGTAAGTATCAATGTTAATCCAGGCTAAGGAATGGTATAAATATGGCCTTTGACTTACTCTTTGCCTAATAGTTATCCAGAGTAGAAACTAATATGGATCTATTTCAAGTTAAAAGGCAGCATGGAGTTTCTTAAGTGGATTAACTAACCAATAACTTCAAGAGCTAAAAAGCTATCAGGTACTCAATATAATCTTCAGCTCAGCAATATTTTTTCAACAAACATTTGGAGACCACCTTCTTTACAAAGTGCTATGCCTTGATGCTAGGAGAAAATATAAAAATGAAAATATGGAACTTTACCTCAGAACACTTGAAGACTAGAAGGAGGTTTCTTAAATATACATATGCGCATGCCTGCAGGTGTGCATGAACACACACACGCTGACCATCACCACCACCGTGATATCTACTGAGTACCAGGCACTGTAGCTAGCCATATAATGGCTTTAAATGCATATGGTTTTCTTAACACGAAGCAGCCTCAGATCTGTCTTTCTGGTTATTTCTACTGCCTCCACAAAAGAAATACCATGAGATAAGCTCAGATAAAATGTGCTTTGAAAGATCCAAAGATGGAGAAATGGTTTCTCAGTTGCAAATAATTGAGGCCATTTTTAAAGTTTTTGAGTCCCTAAATTCTTCTCCTTTATATTAAGCATGTTCACTAAAATCACCTGCTTTGCCTGCTGCCTCAGATCATCCCCAACAGACTCTGGCTCAATCATCTTCCATTCTGCTGCAATGCTCCTGAAAACATCAGCTCCAGTGTTTAACACTTGAATGAGACGACAATCGTGGGATAAATGAGCCAAGATCCGCAGTTCAAGCTGAGAGTAGTCAGCAGCCAGTATTAAACCACCTGAAGTAGAAGTGATTTCAGAAAAGCTAGTATAAAGTTCTCTATCATACAACCAAACTTCTATATCATATAATTGAGCAGGATGACAGAAACTTAGGTCTAACTTAGAACTTTGAAATCATGTCAAAGTTAAAACCTTCCTTTTAATATGATGTAATTCAGCTCTGTATCTTAGATCATTTTTTTCCATGTAGATTTCAAGTATGTATAATACAGGTGAAGCCACCCCTGACATGTGCCCACTGTGGAGTGCTTTCCTCAGTGTTCCTAGAGCACCCAGCACATAATCAAAAATGGTTCTTTCATGCCCCTCTTATTTTGCTCTGAGTCTTTATAAATAGGAAGCTTAATTTTCGTTTTCTTTCTACAGAAAACCTTGCACAGTTGCTGGTATATAATCAGCCTTTAATAAATAGTTGTTGAATGAATTAATGAAAAAACTGGTGTCCAATGTGTGCAAATGTTAAGCGGGCTGGAGAGAAATGTGTGCCCCGCTTTGACAATAACAAAATCATTAAATGAAAAAAAATCAAGTAGTCAACAGCTGAGCAAATTATTAAAAGGATTAAAATAATTTACCCATAGATTAGAAATGGGTCGATTAGATATGCATGACAAAAACAAACTTTAAAAAACATGCCAGGTGTGGTGGCTCATTGCCTGTAATCCCAGCACTTTGGAAGGCTGAGGCGGGCAGATCATGAGGTCAGGAGATTGAGACCATTCTAGCCAACACAGTGAAACCCTGTCTCCACTAAAAATATTTTTTAAAAAATTAGCCAGGCATGGTGGTGCATGCCTGTAGTTCCAGCTACTTGGGAGGCTGAGGCAGAATTGCTTGAAACTGGGAGACAGAGGTTGCAGTGAGCCGAAATCACACCACTGCACTCCAGCCAGGGCGAAAGAGCAAGATGCCGTCTCTAAACAAATAAATAAATGCAGGGTCAAAGAAAAATTAGAAAAAAATATTTGCAACTGATATCACAAAAAACTCACTGCCATTTCATAAGAAGAGCTTTTACTTGTGGAGAATAAGATGAACTACAAATAAGAAGTTCAGACATACTAAAAACAAAAGAACTTTAAATATATTAAAGAATGCTCAACTTTGTAAGAGAAATGAAAAGTCTATAGCAAGAAACAATTTTTCTTTAGCTATACTGCAAACATTACAGAAGTTGGGCAACACTCTGTGACAAGGCTGAGAAGAAACACATTCATATGTTGTTACTGAGAAGTACAATAGTAACCTCCTCCCCATTAGTTCCCAATTTAACTATATCTATAGAAATTAAACAGGTTTTTACTCCATGACTCAGCAAACAAGCCCACAGACTGCTGCAGACACTATCTGCACACAGTTTAAACTCTTTTTAATTTAAATGTCCTTATTGATAAGCACAAATCTTTAGCATAGAAACATTACATGAAAAAAGCAAGGTACACAATAGTGTAGACAGACTGCTAATTTTGTGTAAAAATAGGGAAATAAAAAATTATATATCCACATTTGCTTATATCTGCATAAAGAAATATTGTCAAAATATATAAAAAACTCATACATATAGTAACCTCTGAGAGTTGGGAAGGATACTGTAGATGATAGGTAAGGAAGCAAAGCTTCCCAATACCCATCTTTTATATCATGTTGATTTTGCAACAGGTAAATTAATAACCTATTCAAAAATAGAGATAAATACTAATTTAAAATACAGGTTGAGCATCCCTAATCCAAAATTCCAAAATCCAGTATGCTCCAAAATCCAAAACTTTTGAGCACCAACAAGATGCTCAAATGTCATGCTCACTGGGGCATTTCAGATTTTGGATTTTTGGATTAGAGATGTTCAATTAGTAAAGATAGAGTAAATATTCTAAAATCCAAAAAAAAAAAAAATCTAAATCTAAAACAATTTCCAGTCCCAAGCATTTCACATAAGGGATATTCAACCTATAAATGACAACTTTGGTGGACTTCCTACCACAACTATAAAATTGGACAAATTATATGAAAAAAACAATTCTCAGATGTTAGACAAGCCAGGCAGAACTATAATCACTGAGAAGGGAAAGAAACGAGGTGAGCCACACAAAGGTCTCAGGGATCTGAATGGAGGCACTTTCCAGAATCTGTAGCAGGGAGGGGGAGCTGAAACACAGCACTGTATCTCTTTCTGAACGAAGAAAACAGAGTCTAGAGTTTGGGCCTTTAAGGCAGCTGGAATTTGGAGAGAAAAATGGTGTGCATAAAAGAAGCACCAGAAATAAGCACAGGAATCCCCTTGGATTTTTGACCAAATACTAAGTTGTGCAGGGAGAAAGTGCAGGGCACCAGGCAAAGAACACACACTGAAGAAATAACTATTACTAAAGGAAGAACAAACACTGCATAGCTTTTAGCTGAACAACTAATTCAGCAACACTTTTTTTTTTTGAGATGGAATCTTGCTCTGTTGCCAGGCTGGAGTGCAGTGCTATGATTTTGACTCACTGCAGCCTCTGCCTCCCAGGTTTAAGCGATTTTCCTGCCTCGGCCTCCCAAGTAGCTGGGACTACAGCTGCACGCAACCACACCCAGCTAATTTTTGTTTTTTTAGTAGAGACAGGGTTTCACCATGTTGGCCAGGATGGTCTCGGACACTTAACCTCGTGATCCGCCCACCTTGGCTTCCCAAAGTGCTGGGATTACAGGCGTGAGCCACCGCGCCCAGCCCAACAACACATTCTTGAATGCTGATAAATGACCAAGCTCTAACAAGACTGAGAAGAGATCTTATTAAACACCAAGTAGACTCCAAAAAGGCCACACCTTATGAACAGGAATAATCTAGCCCTAGAGTGCAGGCTACTCTAAACATTTGTTAGCAAAGTTTCAAAGGCCTCAAAAGGACCAAGCTGATGTGAAAGTAAACTGCCTGACAAAAGAAAACTTTACTTCAGTATTTGTTAATTTAGTGTTCATTGTGGCTTTGTATAATGCACTACCATGAATAACAAGAATCAATCACATTTTACAAAAAGCAAAAGATCTTCAAATAACCTACCTGATATGGTTTGGCTATGTCCCCACCCAAATCTCACCTTGAATTGTAATAAAACTCACATGTCAAGGGCAGGGCCAGGTGAAGATAACTGAATTATGGGGGTGTCCCCCTATACTGTTCTCATGGTAGTAAGTCTCATGAGATTTGACGGTTTTATAAATGGGAGTTCCCCTGCATAAGCTCTAGCCTGCCACCATGTAAGATGTCCCTTGCTCTTCCTTCATCTTCCACCATGATTGTAAGGCCTCCCCAGCCATGTGGAACCATGAGTCCATCAAACCTCCTTCCTTTCCAAATTATTCAGTCTCAGGCAGGTCTTTATTAGCAGCATGACAATGGACTAATAAACTACCAAACAATTACCTATCAACTCTATAGGTAACCTGTCTAATTGTATCAGAGATTAATCAAATTTCAAGTATTTCTTTTTTGGCTTTGGAAGAACTGTCCCATAATAGAGAAGCTGCTTAATTAATACTATGAATAGGTTTTGTCTCAGTGGACTTCTAAATTTATAAAGAAAATACCATTCTTAGCTTACAAAATCAAACTAGTGGCACAGATATTTTGGAATCTTTTACATTTATCAAAGAGGAATTTCAAGTAGATATGAAAAAAATAGCTTTCATCATATAGTCAATAGTCTAGCTTTGTCATTAAAAACTTATTTATTTGGCCGGGCACGGTGGCTCAAGCTTGTAATCCCAGCACTTTGGGAGGCCGAGGCGGGTGGATCACGAGGTCGAGAGATCAAGACCATCCTGGTCAACATGGTGAAACCCCGTCTCTACTAAAAATACAAAAAATTAGCTGGGCATGGTGGCACGTGCCTGTAATCCCAGCTACTCAGGAGGCTGAGGCAGGAGAATTGCTTGAACCCAGGAGGCGGAGGTTGCGGTGAGCCGAGATTGCGCCATTGCACTCCAGCCTGGGTAACAAGAGCAAAACTCCGTCTCAAAAAAAAAAAAAAAAAAACAAACTTATTTTTTTTACAGTTTTAAACAGGAGTCTGTTTCTCTATTTCTTCATTCCACTATATGTATAGAAAAGATTTATGCTCAAGTTTTCTATATCAGACCATCAAAAGGGTTATAACACAGTTAAAATTATTTTATGTAAATGTACAAATGCTGTCATCACCAGCTTAAGGAGCTGCTGAAAATAGAAAACAATGAATGTAACAATCTTGTGTACGCTATCGAAGCTCATTGTTTGATTCATGAAAAAGTCTTACAAAGATTTACTGTACTCCAATATTTTCTTGAAACAGAAGAACACTTGCCACATATTTTGTAATCAAAGACCAAAAGAACAATGTGATTTATGTTTTTTGACTGATATCACACAGCATATATTTGAGGCTCCAAGAAAAGGAATAATGTGCTTGTGACCTAGCTAGACAGGTATGAGAATTTATTTGGAAATGAAAACTTTTTATAAAACAAATCAGTAATGGGCTAGGTGCAATAGCTCACACCTGTAATTCCAGTAACTGGGGAGGCCAAGGCTGGGGGATCATTTCAGCCCAGGAGTTCCAGACAAGCCTCAGCAACACAGCAGGAATCCCCATCTCTTCCAATAATAATACTAATAACTTTATGCATTTTTCAAGTATAAATCAATATGCAGTATTGTTTAATTACAATCAACACGTTATATAAACTGCAAATATTTAAAAAAAATTTTAAATGCTCTGATGCTGACAAATTTAGAGTTGTTTTTTTATTTAAGTAATAGTCTTTTGAATTTGACATAATATCGGTATGGCATCCTTAATCTAAAAATTCAAAATCTAAAATGTTCCAAAATCTAAAACTTTCTGAGCACTGACATGATGCTACAAGTGGAAAGTTCCACAACTGACCTCTTGTAACAAGTCAAAGTTATAACTTTGTTTCATGCATAAAATTTAAAATATTGTATAAAACTACCTTTAGGCTATGTCTATAAGGTGTACATGAAACATAAATTTCATATTATGACTTGGATCCCATCCCCAAAATATCACATTATGTATATGCAAATATTCCAAAATCTCAAATGCTTTTAGTCTCAAGGATTCGAGACAAGGGACACGCAACCTGTCATAATGAGTAACATAAGAGTTGGTAAATTTACTTAATTTGTACAGACATTGTTTTGTAATGGGTATTTCTGCTTCAAAGTCAAATTAATACTTCGGAGAAAATATGAACCAGCTTTGTTAATACAGATGCTATTTTTTTTTTTAATGAGTTTCTAAAAAATAGAAAAGACAAAAAAATGAGTTTCTGGTACTCAATTCAGTTACTGGAATTTTATATTCTTTTTTTTGAGATAGTGTCTTGCTCTTTCACCTAGGCTGGAGTGCAGTGGCACAATCATGGCTCAGTGCAGCCCCAACCTCCTGGGCTCAAGTGATACGATATTCAGACCTCAGACTCCTCAGTAGCTGGGACTACAGATGCACACCACTATGCCTAGCTAATTTTTTAATTTTCTGTAAAGATGGGGTCTCCCTATGTTGCCCAGGCTGGTTGTGAAGTCCTGGACTCAAGCAACCTTCCTGCTTCGGCCTCCCAAAATGCTGGGATTACAGGTGTGAGCCACCATGCCTTGCATGAAATACTTTAAAGTATGTTTGAAACAACGTGGGCATGTGATCTACTTTGTCAAAATATAAGTTTTATAAAATGAAGCATACCTTGCTTTATTGCACTTCACTTTATTATGCCTCACAGATATTGCAGTTTCTTTTAAAGAAATTAAAGGTTTTTGGCAACTCTGAGTGGAGCAAGTCTATCAGCACCATTTTCCAATAGCATGTGTTCACTGTGACACATTTTATTAATAGTAATGTTCATATTACTTCAAACCCTCTCATTATTACCTGTTATGGTGATCTTTGATGTTACTATTATTACAATCCATGAACCACATTCACGTAAGAGTTAACTTCATCAATCAACTTCATCGATCAATGTTGTGTGCGTTCTAACTACTCCACTAACTGGCTGTTCCCCTCTCTCTCAGACCTCCTTTCTCCCCTTTCTCTCTCAGACCTCCCTATTCCCTGAGATACAATATTAAAATTAGGCCAATTAATCACCCTACAATGGCAATGACCTATAAGTGCTCAAGAGAACGAGAAAGTCACATCTCTCTTGTACGAAACCAAAAGCTAGAAATAATTAAGCTTATTGAAGAAGGCATGTCAAAAGCTGAGATAGGTTGAAAGCTAGGCCTCTTGTGTCATACAGTTAGCCAAGTTGTGAATGCAAAGGAAAAGTTCTGGAAGGAAATTAAAAGTGTTACTCCAGTGAACACATGAATTATAGGAAGGCAAGACAGCCTTATTGCTAATATGGAGAAAATTGGAGTATTCTGGATAAAAAATACAACCAGCCATAACATCCTCTTAGGCCGAAGTCTAATCCAGAGCAAGAAGGCTCTGAGGTACTCTTCAGTATGTAGTATGTCAACTGCATTTTCCTACTCCACAATTTCTATTAAGGCTGAGGGGGGATGAGGAAGCTGCGGACAAACAAAACAAAAAAACTGATTCATGCGTTTTAAGAAAACTCTATTGCACTCCATCCTGGTGACAGTGTGAGACTCCATCTCAAAAAAGTAAGAAAGAAAGAAATTACCATACACCACACAGACCTTCTGGGGACTCTCTTGGATAACTGTGATAGAATTTTGTATGCTGATAGTTCAGACATAAGCAACATTAAAAATTGCCTAGCAAGACATGTCATCACATTCACCCTTGGAATATAAGTTTCTGATGGAATTTAAATAAATTCAGATGGTTAATTGCACTCACCTGGACCTGCCAGCTGATGACAGATAAAAGAACAAATATGTATACTAACAGTCGGGATGATATGCAAGTTACATCACCACTTCCAACTGTCTTGACAACAAAAGGTTTATGTCCAGAGTACTGAGTTGAGGTCAGGCAGAATGACAATAGCCTTAGGGGCCACCCCATGCAATAGGAAGCAGCAGTGCAGAAAAAGGAAGTACAGACATAAAAGCATAAAAGTTAGAAGGAGAGACCAAAAAAATTGTCCCTTTAGAGGTCAAGAGAGAAGGGAAATTGAAGAAGGAAAGAGTTAATTAACAGTGACAAATGCTGTAAAGAAGTTAAAGAGGATGAAGACTGACAAAATCAACCAGACTTTGCAAAGAAGTTTACACTGACGTTAGAAGACATGGTTTCGTACCCCAAAACCTAAAATGCAATTAAAAAAAAAAAAAAAAAAAAAAAGAAGAAGACATGGTTTCAGCAGACTACTGCTGCTGAGCACACACCACAAAAGTTTCCCACAGAGCAAATCATGGAGAAGATGACTGCTATAAACCTGGCAGGACAAGATGACTGCTGTAGACAGAAAGATGGAGGGACAAATGCATGCTCGAAGTCTCATCCAAATTTCAGGCTTTGAAAAACATTCTCACAGCAATGAGAAGCTTCAAAGCTATCAGCCACCTTACCTGGAAAAGGCACAAAGGCATGTCGCATGCTAACTGAAAACGGCATTCCTCTGTCTGCAGCTCTCTCGTCCATCTGTGTCTGGCATCCACGGTTCAGGCTCCAACCCTTTTTATTTTTTCCTCTGTGGTACAAACTACATCATCAGATAAACATAAAGCAGTCTCAAATATATGAAAAAGATCTAATTTTCAACAACATCAGTATTTCCAGCTAAGAAACGGAATAAAAACCTTATCTGAGAGTTGGGTGTGATAGCTCACACCTGTAATACCAGCACTTTGGGAAGCTGAGGCGAGCAGATTGCTTGAGCCTAGGAGTTCAGGACTAGTCAGGGCAACAAAGTGAGACCCTTGTCTCTACAAAAATTAGCCAGGTGTGGTGGCACATAGCTGTAGTGCCAGCTACTCAGGAGGCTGAGGTTGGAGAATTGCTTGAGCCCAGGAGGTGGAGGTTGAAGTGAGCCAAGGCACCACTGCTCTCCAGCCTGGCAACAGAGCAAGATTCCATTTCAAAACAAAACAAAACAAACCTGATAATCACTTTAAAGCTTAACAAAGATACTAGAACTCTTTTAGCAAACATTCAATTAAACATGAAGTAGCTTCTTTACACTTACACTTTACACTTTACATTTTGAATCCTAGACTCAGGATTCAAAATGGTCTAGGATAGAAATGGGTATGTCTGAAACATAAAATTAAACTAATTTCATTTATTTGTCTAATAAGCTATTTTCAGCCATTCATACTTACATAAGTTTATTAATACAGATCCAGAGAAACAGTGCCTACCTGCCCATAGGAAGTAGGCCTTTGCCTACAGCTTGAGAAGGTGGGCTTTCTCCTACTAGTGTTGGCATTTTGATTTCAAAATCTCTTGGCACATTCTGAATATTTGGTTCTGTAAAGGTTATTCGTCCTGAAATCAAGCAGAATAAAGACATAAAATTAGAAAAAGAAATCTGGTTATTTAACGGTATTCACATTTCTGGATTATCTTAAAAATACAGACTATCAATGCTGAACTAAAATAAATTTATATTTAAATAAAATATTTTTCATCATGTTCATGTGTCTAACAGTGATAAAATAAGACCATCCCAAAATAAATGAATAAATTGGCTACAATATTATGTTTTACATAGAAAACAATCCCACAGTGAGAAGTAATTGATAAACTTAACTACTCCTGAGTATCAAATTTCAGCACTATAACATGTTAGCAGTCATATTAATGAGTAAAGGCTAATCAAATGGATCTTAGGAGAAGCAACCACTGAAGCCTCTTAAAAGCCCATCACGGCCGGGCGCGGTGGCTCAAGCCTGTAATCCCAGCACTTTGGGAGGCCGAGGCGGTGGATCACGAGGTCGAGAGATCGAGACCATCCTGGTCAACATGGTGAAACCCCGTCTCTACTAAAAGTGCAAAAAATTAGCTGGGCATGGTGGCACGTGCCTGTAATCCCAGCTACTCAGGAGGCTGAGGCAGGAGAATTGCCTGAACCCAGGAGGTGGAGGTTGTGGTGAGCCAAGATCGCGCCATTGCACTCCAGCCTGGGTAACAAGAGCGAAACTCCGTCTCAAAAAAAAAAAAAAAAAAAGCCCATCACTTTCAGACATCATCATCTTTCTTCATCATCATCATAATTCATCGAGAGAATCAACAATAGTACGTACTGACTAGAAGTACTGAATCAAGTGGAGACTTGAATCAGGTGGTTAATAGTAAATTTTCCAGTGAATAGAAAGCTTTAAAAAAAAAAAAAAAAAAGCATATAAGTCTGGCCAACATAGTAAAACCCCATCTCTACTAAAACTACAAAAAATTAGGTGGGCATGGTGGCAAGTGCCTGTAATCCCCAGTTACTTAGGAAGCTGAGGAAGGAGAATCACTTGAACCTGGGGGGTAGACACTGCAGTGAGCCAAGATCACACCACTGTACTCTAGACTGGACAACAGAGTGAGATGTCTCAAAAAAAAAAAAAAAAAAGATTGTAAAGCCTTTATTTCCCCAAATATTTTACAGTTTGTTTACTTGTTTGAATTTCTCTAAACATGTAAGTACCACTCCAAAAAAGTTTGAGTAATTTTGTTAGTGTGATTTTTATAACACTATCAGCAATAGTAAAACTCTATTTTATGATACACTCTTCATTGTAACAGGCTACTAGCTATGTATAACTCCATTATCTTCTGATAAATCAGACATTTTAAGTGACTTGGACATTGTTTTTCTGAATGATCCCCTGATATTATGTCTTTGTCATTTAGCTTCTAGCACAAAGTGTGTTCAATTAATGATAACCTTTTATGTAACTGTTGTCATTAAATGGCCTGTTCAATATTACAAAGCTAACAAATAACAGAGGAGGGCATCCAAGACTCTTTTTACATCAACACATTGCCTTCTTTTCTATAACACTTCATGTTCAGCACATTGCCCTGGTCTATTAGTTGAATTAAAGAGGCAACACTGGTAGACCAAAAAAAAAAAAAAAAAAAAGGTAAAAATAAATTACAAGCATGAATATATAGCTTAATAGATATGAAGTACACTGATGAAAGGCTTTGCTTAAGTTTGTATTTCTAAACTATTATAAAAGTTATTTATTAAAATATATTTCTAAAATCAGTAATAAGAATAGAATTCTTACTGGCTTTAACTTCTGCTTTGTAAAGAACAAAGAAATGTGCAACACCTTTGAAAACTCTAGGTAGATGTTTTTTCATCATCAAAGATTTTATTTCATGTAAGTTTATATCATTATCATATGTTTCAAAGTGAAATTTAAATACTAACAGGGCAAGATATCACTGGGATGGGACAAGAGATTAGCTAAATCAGAAGAAAGATAATTAGAAAGTTTAAAACAAGATAAAGCAAGCAGACAAAAGCAGCACCTGATGGAGCCTCCATGCTAGATAACAGCAACCAACAGTGAGTGCTTTCTAGGAGCCATGCACTGTTCTAAGTATTCTACATCTAGAACCTATTTAATCCTCAGAATTACCAGGTGAAGTAAGACTGTTATTGCCTTGTTTATTTGTTTATTGATTGACTGAGACAGGGTCTCACTCTGTTGCCCAGGCTGAACTGCAATGGTGCAATCACAGCTCACTGCAGCCTTGACATCCCAGGCTCAAGCGATCCTCCTACCTTAGCCTCCCAAGTAGCTGGGACTACAGGCACAAGATATCACACATAGCTAATTTTTTGACTTTTTGTAGAGACATGGGTTTCACTCTCTTGCTCAGGCTAGTCTCAAACTGCTGGGCTCAAGTGACCCTCCGGTCTTAGCCTCCCAAAGTGCTGGGATTACAGGTGTGAGGCACTGTGCCTTGTATTATACATGAAAAAACTTAGGCATTGAAAGGTTAAATATCTTTTCATAAATATTTATAGAACCAGGATTCAAATACTGATTTCTCATGTCAAAGCCCACATTCTATATCACCAATCTAACCAGGCACCAATAGAGCCTCCTCTATGAATGAGTTAAAGCCACCCTTTCTTCCACTACACATCACATTTGGCAAATACTTAAGAGTTTTATACTGCCTAGAGAAAGAATGCATTTTTCCTCATAAGATTACACTCTTACTTATTTAAAGAGGACCATGAGATATCCAAAGAGAGCTACAGCTTTCTTTTCTGCTTGGGTGAAATAAGATACTTAACACAGATGTCCCAGAAGCCTACTCAGATTCAACTCAGAGAAATCTTAAGAGGCTCAAAAAAGGGATGGGACTGAAACTAGGTAAGACCGCCGACTGAAATATTTAATTCCTGTGTATACATACTTTGAAAGCACTATCTCAGAAATCCCAGTTACTCTATACAAGTACTTAAAAGCAGGAAACAGGCCAGGCACAGTGGCTCACTGTAATCCCAGCGCTTTGGGAGGCCAAGGCAGATGGATCACCTGAGGTCAGCAGTTCAAGACCAGCCTGACCAAAATCTTGTCTCTACTAAAAAATTAGCCAGGCAAGGTGGTGTACACCTGTAATCCCAGCTACTCAGGGGGCTGAGGCAGGAGAATCACTTGAACCCAGGAGGCAGAGATTGCAGTGAGCCGAGATCATGCCACTGCACTCCAGCCTGGGCAACAAGAATGAAACTCTGTCTCAAAATAAATAAATTAAAAAAATAAATAAAAGCAGAAACCAATACTGATCTCTGTACCCAGGTAGTATCTACCTATGCTTTGGATAAAGCATGTAGTTTATAGTTTTAAAACTTCACTTTAACCCCATGATCAACACTTGAATTCTTGGCCATCGTAAGAAATATTGCATATGAAAATGTTTTTCCTTCAAAATTGGATACTGTTTATACTTAAGATTTCTCATTACCTGTAGCAGTGTGCGACTGTGACACAGGATAGATTCTTTCCATTCCAAGAAAAGGATTAAGACGCTTTTCCCGCTGAAGAGGAAAGACCACTTTGGTAATAGCATTAGTGATTCTTCTCCATTCTAATATCAAGCCTGGTAAAGGATGTAATGCCTTTAATTTATTTAAAACATCCTGCCAAAAAAATATAAGGTAAGATTGAATTCTTGTCCAAATTCCATAGCAAGCTAGAATCTCTTTTACGTAAATAACAGTCTCAAAATTAAATCTGAGAGTAACATCTACAACTCAAAACTATTTCTTGGGTTGTAACCACCATATTGATAAAACTATAACTACAGTTTATAAAATGCAAATGTGGTAATGCTGAGCATGATCAATTTAAAATTACCTTTTTAAAAAAAATGAGTTGCCAGTTTAACAAAGCGACTGCCTACCCACACCCCACCAAACGTTTATTTTACATCATCTGTTTTCTTTATGCATTTTCCTCCTCCACTCCTGACATGACTGGAAGTATCCCAGTTGTTTTTCTTCTTGCCCAGAAACTTATATGGTTTCCATATCAAGGTAATCAGGAGACATCTATTTTTAAAACTTTGAATTTTTTGTACTATAGACTTTCAGTGAACTATTAAGGAACAGAAACTTGTGAGTAAAAGGGCCAGTGAGAACAAATAAACAATTGTGCTACAGTCTGGAGCTAAGGAAACTTCCTAGGAGCAGACAAGTCATACATAATGGTGTAAGGACTGAAATTGTACACAAAGGCAACTTGAACAGCTCTATGCCATATTTTCTACCCTATTTTTCCACTAAAACTTCAGTAACAATGTAAAATTAAGCCTTTTCTCTCTTCTCTCCCCGTTGCATAGTTTCCAATGGATTATGATTAACAATTTTACTTTGAAATTAGCAGATTAAATTCTTTTTTAAAGGAATATAAAACTATTAACTGCTGTTCACCATTATTTACAATAAAGTAAACACCGATACATTCTGATTACTACAGAGTTGTTTTTCTTGGCTTTTGCTGAACCTGTAAAGCAAATAACTGAAAGACTGACCCTACATGTAAGGAATGAGTTGGGGTAAAAAAAAAACATACAGGTCAATAGGTTAGATTACAAAAGGTAATATATTTGTTCTGACTGGGTTCCTTTCTTTTTAAAAATTCTTACATACCTTTCTCTATGTTCACATAACTATATGAATTAAGTAATATTAGATGTCCAAGAGTAATGGATGGCAATAATTAAATAATGTCTTTAAGGCTGAGTTTATAAACCTTTATACCATTTTAATGATAGGAAGAAGGGACACAACTGCTAAGATTATGATTTGAATTTTCCATGCAGAAAATCTCCACAGAATTTGTGGGCTACCAAACCACAAATCAGTATGTTAATCTATATCTGGGTAAATTCAAATGGTGGACTCAGATCTTGATTTCATCAGCATTCTTTCTAGACACCAAAATGCTAAAAACAGTTCAGGTTCTGCCCGGCTCTGTGACTGCCCCAAAGAGCACCTTACTAGTGCTGAACTGTCTTCCCAGCCTTAGCTTGCGTCCACTGTCACTCCCTCTTCTCGTAGAACCCAGAGTTTTCTTGCTGCCTTGGTTTTTCATCTCTCCATTTGGGGGCAACTTCAATTCCAAAAATAAAACCTGCAAGAAATTAATGCCTCTTTAGTCAAAAATGAAACTTGCAAAGACTATCATTCAGAATTTATTTTAGAAAAAGCTCCATAGTTCAAGCTGGACTGAAAGAATGTTTCTCTGGATAATTTGGAATTACCATATTTAACAAATGATGGCAATGAAAATGCATATGTCAGGTAGTCTATCCATACTCTAGGCACTATCAGATTAATACTAACACAAGGCCTTCTTTTTTTTTTTTTTTTTTTTTTGATTCAGGATCTCACTGTCACCCAGGCCAGAGTGTAGTGGTGTGATCATGGCTCACTGTAGCCTTGACCTCCTGGGCTCAAGTGATCCTCCCACTTCAGCCTCTCAAGTAGCTGGGGCCACAGGAGTACACTACCATGCCTGGCTAATTTTTATATCTTTGGTAGAGACAGGGTTTCACCAGGTTGGCCAGGGTGGTCTCAAACTCTAAGCTCAAGCAATCTACCTGCCTCGGCCTCCCAAAGTGCTGGGACTACAGGCCTAAGCTACCACTTTGACATGGCCTAAGAAGAAGCCAATAATACTAAAGGCGCTTTACTCTTAGTCCAGAATTTGCTCGAGGTCTGTACTTTACATGCTTTCAGGCCCATCTGAATCACCACGGCAATAATTCCTGCCTTTGCCCCAAACCTACTTGTGCTGAAACAGAGATTCTGTATTTTCTGTAAATTCCCTATGTAATTTTATGTGCAGTCAGCTAGGTATTGGCTTGGGGACTTCTGAGCTAAAGAATTTAAAAGAAGATACCAAAAAGAAAGAAAGAAAAAAAGATACCACTGAATTCAACACATGAATAAGAGAAACCAAGTTCCTCATTTCATTTAAAATACGCTAACAAAGAAAAAGAAAACCAAATATGGCATGTTCTCACTTATAAGTGGGAGCTAAATGATGAGAATTCATGACCATAAAGAAGGAAACAATAGACAATGGGGTCTACTCAAGGGTGGAGGATGAAAGAAGGGAGAGGAGCAGAAAAAATAACTACTGGATGCTGGGCTTAATACCTGGGTGATGAAATAATCTGTACAACAAACCCCCATGACACGAGTTTACCTATATGACAAACCTTCACATGTACCCTTAAACCTAATAGTTAAAAAACAAAATGTTTGTATTTAAATTTTATAGTCGCGTGAAAAAAAAAACAAAAAAAAAAAACATAAAACGTAACTGTGGCTTTAAAAAAGACACTTTTATAAGGATATTTAACATTTATTGACCAGTTACTACATAATGGTCACTTGTTATTTATACCTCACTACAACCCTATGAGGAATTTTTATGACAACCCCCATTTTACTGAAAATTGACACAGAGAGTTTATATATTGGCCCAAGGCTATGGAACTAGTTAATAAAGGGAGGAGGTAAGATTCAAACCCAAGAAGTCTGGCTTTAAAGTCTATGACTTTTACCAATACGCTGTATTACAGAATCACAACTAGAAGACATAAGAACTTCAATGCTATCAAACGTATGCATCCACCTTGTGTCTGTAACCCCTCTGAAACAACCCAATCACCCTTTGTTAGGGATGTAGTGTGGTTGAGAGGAGAGAATAGAATACCAACATATGAAAATAAAACAAAGGTAAAATTTGTCAACATTTATGTGAGGAAGCAAAAACTTTAATTAAGTTTAAAAAAGGAAACAGTCATAAAAATCCCTTTTTCATTTACATCTCAGAAAAATATCTAATTTCCTATTCTATAGAAAGATGTTAGGGCAAGCAAGGAGGAGTGAGGGCTCACAAAATGACTAACTTCATGGAGAAACAGCTATGCTGTCATGCAACCACCACTACCAACCATTTCTTCAACAAATATTTAGTGGGTGCCTCCTCTGTTCCAGGCAAATCTCCTTCATGAGGAGTTTACATTCTAGAAGTCCTCTTTAGTACCTTCCTTTATTTGTAAATTAAAAACAGATATAATTTACAAATTAGATGTTAGAATATTCCCAAAGCAATCTGGTTAACTGGCTGTTTCATTTTACTGACCTTAGGTGTTCAGGTAAATACACACACACACACACACACACACACACACACACACACACACACACACACAATCATTTTAACTCTAAAAATTATTTATCTATATTCCTATCCCCATGATACAACCTCAGCAATGTCATCCGAACTGGTGAAAGAAAAACTGTGGCCAGCTAGTTGATAGGCCTGGGTCTCAATTGCATCCAGCTTGGCTTGCAGTATGTGTTTCTGACTTTCACATTCTGCAGTACTGAAGCCTATTCCATTTAGTTCTAGCAAGGCCAAGCAGTACTGAGAGGGCATTTCCACTTTGCAGAAAACATCTGGAAGAAAAAAAAGAAAACTAAAACGTTATCATTGGCTAAGTGACTAGATCAGCAGCCTTACCTAAACCACACAGAATTCATCTAGGAAAATCCAGAAATGCTACCAAGCTATCCTTCAGGATCCAGTCTCCTGAGCAGCATTCTCAAGCCAACAATGAAAGGTGGAAAAGCACAGGCTAGCTTAGCACTGGACAACTATCCTTGTCTCTGCAGAGAGTAGAAGAGTCAGCAATCTTGTGAATAGCCTGGATTACAAGAGACTATATTTCTCCCAAGATGTTTCTGCTTCTACTCTTAGCAAGAGCATAGCAACCAACCTTATTTTGAAATCCAAAATGCTCCAAAATCTGAAACTTTCTGAGCACTGACATGACACCACAAGTGGGACATTCCATACCTGACTGTTAGTGACAGGGCACAGTCAAAATGCTCAGGTGTATAACACAAAGTTTATTCAGCATCTCTAAAGGAAAAAAGGCCCTCCTTGCCCCATTCAGCTTCAATATATCTTTTCTGCCAGACAACCACAGACTGTCTAAATGGTGGCTGAGACAGTGACACCTTTGCTTTCTGATGGCTCAGTATACACAAATTTTATTTCATGCATAACATTATTAAATACATTGTATAAAATTATCTTTAGGCTATGTATATGGGTATCTATGAATTCTACATTTAGACTTGGGTCTCATCCACAAGATACCTCATTATGTATTTGCAAATATTTCAAAATCCAAAAAAATCTGAAATGTAAAACACTTCTGGTCCCACATTTTGGATAAGGCAGACTCAATTTACATATTAAAGGCCCTGAGAGGACCTGAAGCAAAGACAACTATTTAATTTTAAGTGAAAGTCCCCAATTTTATTTGACCATTAAACCTTTTTTTCATATAATACTTATTAACATCTTGAAAAGTAAGCATCCATGGAATGTACTATGGGAAATGCTATCCTAAATCATTAAGAAAGAATCCCTAAGACTTCAGCTTCCAGTACTGAGTCACTAGGAATTTAAGCAACCCTGGTCCACCCACCCCAGCTCCAAACAAACACATTCTTTGAGGCACTGCTGCTCTCAATCAGCATAAGAAATCTCCAGGGAGGCCGGGTGCGGTGGCTCAAGCCTGTAATCCCAGCACTTTGGGAGGCCGAGGCGGGTGGATCATGAGGTCAAGAGATTGAGACCATCCTGGTCAACATGGTGAAACCCCGTCTCTACTAAAAATACTAAAAATTAGCTGGGCATGGTGGCGTGTGCCTGTAATCCCAGCTACTCAGGAGGCTGAGGCAGGAGAATTGCCTGAACCCAGGAGGCGGAGGTTGCGGTGAGCCGAGATCGCGCCATTGCACCAAAAGCAAAAAAAACAAATGAGAGTTAATGGCCTCTAACCACCTGCAGAAGGTACGAGGCAGTCAGATCTTGGCTTTAGGAGCCTGGAACCAGTGGAGAAATTCATGTTACTTGAGACTAGAGAAATAATGACTTTGGGTCATAGCAGGAACAATCAGAGAAGCACAAAATAAGAGTGGCAGGGAGCTAGCCTGGATCCATAGGCATTAGGAAGGAGCCTGGATCCCATCGTTAAGGGAATGGAGTCCCATAGCAAAAAGTTTAAGGGGATACAGATCCTTGAAACAACAACAGGATGAGGAGCTAAGCCTCAGTCCTCACTCTTGTTCTGAAACAAAACTCTCAAAGAAAGGCTACTGTGGTCCTTGGATTTGAAGTAGTTTGGTACTCAGCAAAGGCAGGAACAAAACCTTTCTAAGGGATGGCTTCCCACAAGTAAGTCTTGCAGGGATCCTTGATTATAATAAATACTGTATGAACTCACAAAAAATATGAAAAATACAAGAGAGCAAAGAAATGTGAACAGGACTCAGAAGAAACAACCAGGAACAAATTTAGATCCCCAAAATAGCTGATAAGGATTAGTTAGAACAGAGCACAACTGTGAACAAACTACTGACAAAACAAAAAGTGACTAGAAACAAACTAAAACAGTAGGAAAATAGAGTACAGTATATCAATAATAATAATGAGCAGAAATTCATCAACAATCACAATTGGTAAATTTGTAAAAAAAAAAAAAAGATAAGCCTGAAAAATAAATAAGCTATACTTTGTTTATAAGACATGTATGAAGATAGGAACCTAGAAAGGTTAAAAGGAATTAAAAAAAAAAAAAAAAAAAAAAAAAAAGGTGGTCCGGGCGCGGTGGCTCAAGTCTGTAATCCCAGCACTTTGGGAGGCCGAGGCAGGTGGATCACGAGGTCAAGAGATTGAGACCATCCTGGTCAACAAGGTGAAACCCCGTCTCTACCAAAAATACAAAAAGTTAGCTGGGCATGGTGGTGCGTGCCTGTAATCCCAGCTACTCAGGAGGCTGAGACAAGAGAATTGCCTGAACCCAGGAGGCGGAGGTTGCGGTGAGCCGAGATCGTGCCATTGCACTCCAGCCTGGGTAACAAGAGCGAAACTCCGTCTCAAAAAAAAAAAAAAAAAGGTTATATGAAGCAAATATTAATCAAAAGAGAGCTCATGTTGCCATATTCATATTAAAAAAACAGACTAAGAACTAAGAATAAAAATCATTATTTGTAATACAGATGGTCATAATACACTAATAGAAGGTTTAATTCACCAGGAAAGTAAATCAATTTTAAACACATACACACCTAATAAAATGGCCTCAAAATATACAAAGTTAAAACTGATTGAATTACAGAGAAAATTACAGAATATTTTAAAAACAATTTTGACTTAACAGACAAAAATTCTGCATCCAGAATTAGAGTACACATTCTCAAATGCAAATAATTTACACAATAGTTCCAGTTTTAGACCATGAATCATTCTTTGAAAATTTCAAGAATGAGTATTATATAACCATGTACTCTAACTAAAACACAATTAAGTTTAAAGATTGTCTAAATACAAAAAAGTTTCTAAATATTTGGGAATTAAAAACCATTCTTCTAAATAATTTGTGAGTGAAAAAATACACCATAAATCTAAAAATATCTAGCATGATAAGAATATTATATATTAGGCCAGGAACAGTGGCTCACACCTGTAATCCCAGCACTTTGGCAGGCAAAGGCAGGTGGACTGCTTGAGGGCAAGAGTTCGAGACCAGCCTGGGCAACATAGCAACATCCCCACCTCTACAAAACAAATGTGTGTGTGTGTGTGTGTGTACACATGAAAACAGGAATACAATAAAAGTAGTGCTTTAAGAGAAACTTATAGCCTTATGTTCTTTGTGTGTGTGTGTGTGTGTGTGTGTGTGTATCTGGGATTACAGATGCACACTACCACTTACAGCTAATTTTTGTATTTTTAGTAGAGATGGGGTTTCACCATGTTGGCAAGGCTGGACTCAAACTCCTGGCCTCAAGTGATTCTCCTGCCTTGGTCTTCCAGAGTGCTGGGATTACAGGTATGAGCCACTGCAGCCAGCTGCCTTATGTTCTTAAGTTAGAAAAGAAAAAAATAATTTCAGAAGTAATGGTTTTAAGGTCAAAGTTATTAAATTTGAAAAAGGACTACAAAATAAAGTCAGGGGAATCAGAAGAAAATAAGTAATATAGATGTGAACAGAAATCAAGGAAAAAGAAAACAAAAGTAATAGGAAGAATCAAAGGCAAAGGTTGGTTCTTTGAAAAGACTAGAAAATCAGGAAAACTTCAAGTGACATTAAATAATAAATACTACTACGAAAGAAAAAGAGGATATAACAAACCAGAGACATAAAAAAGAGACTTAGCAATAGCTGTATACCAATATATTTGAAAATTTAAATGAAACATAAATTCATAAAAACATGTATGTTGGGAATGTCACAATGGAGTAATAAAAATTTTTTTTTTTTTTTTTTTTTTTTTTGAGACGGAGTTTTTTCTCTGGTTACCCAGGCTGGAGTGCAATGGCACGATCTCGGCTCAACACAACCTTCGCCTCCTGGGTTCAGGCAATTCTCCTGCCTCAGCCTCCTGAGTAGCTGGGATTACAGGCACGTGCCACCATGCCCAGCTAATTTTTGTATTTTTTAGTAGAGATGGGGTTTCACCATGTTGACCAGGATGGTCTCGATCTCTTGACCTCGTGATCCACCCGCCTCGGCCTCCCAAAGTGCTGGGATTACAGGCGTGAGTCACCGTGCCCGGCCGTAATAAAAATTTTTAAAAAGATGTGGAAAAAATATATATATAGCTCACCAAATATACTCAAAAAGATATAACTGAATGAATAATCTTACAGTTATTAAAGAAATCAAAAGTTGCAGTTAAAGTATTTTTCTACATCAGATGAGACTACCTCCCAGCTAACAGAAAAATATAAAAAATAAAATATAGCTGGGTCTCTTTCTACAAAAAAATAATTATATTCAAACTAAATCTTTTTTTTTTTTTTTTGAGACGGAGTTTCACTATTGTTACCCAGGCTGGAGTGCAATGGCATGATCTCGGCTCACCGCAACCTCCGCCTCCTGGGTTCAGGCAATTCTCCTGCCTCAGCCTCCTGAGTAGCTGGGATTACAGGCACACGCCACCATGTCCAGCTAATGTTTTGTATTTTTAGTAGAGACGGGGTTTCACCATGTTGACCATGGATGGTCTCGATCTCTTGACCTCGTGATCCACCCGCCTCGGCCTCCCAAAGTGCTGGGACTACAGGCTTGAGCCACCGCGCCCGGCCTCAAACTAAATCTTATAGCCGTCTACATTCTCTCCAAAACCTTCTTTTCCCTCATTGCACTTCAATTCCTGAATTCTATGACTAAAAAAGCATTAACACTGTATAAAAAAGCATTTAATACCTCCTAACCACTCTTGTTTTTGAGATGGGTGTCTCACTGTGTTGTCCAGGTTGGTCTCAAACTTCTGGGCTCAAGTGATCCTCCCTCCTGAGTAGCTGGGACTACAGGCAGGAGCCATTGAGCCTGGCCGGCCATACATTTTTGAAAGTTTGCAGAAAAAAAGAAGCTTTCAAAAGCATATTGAAATGGTCAAAGTTAAAAATTACAATAATGAACATAATAAGCATCTGCTCTGTGACAAACACTGCCCATATTTACTATCTTTTTTCATCCTTAGAACAACTTTATAAGAACCAGACTTACAGTTTCAGTAGTTTGCCCAAAGTTATTCAGCTCATAAGTGTACAGTCCAAATCCAAACCCTAGTCTGTATGAACTCATCCATCTATTTTCTAGTACTTATTGATCAGTCAATAAATTCAGTTATCTCCTCGCAATGAAGCCAATTTGTTCTGCTTCACATCTCTACCATAAGCATCCATTAAGTTTTCTGGAGTCAGGGTACTCAATCTGGGCCAGCAGACCCCACAATAAATTCATGTTATTTGTTATGCGGGAAAAAACAGACTTACAATTATCCTTTGCTGTGAAAAAAAAAAATCTGTTAATAGTTCCAAAAAGAAAAGAGTTAACTTTTTGAAATCCATTAAGGATGTGTTCTAAGTGTGAATAAAAATCATCTGATAAAGTCCAAATACAAAACTAGCAACAACTGAATAAATGCCATTTTGTAATTCTCTTCTTCACAAGAGGGCCAGAAGTCAGCAAACTATGGCCAAACTAACATTAGATGCATGATTTTGTAAAGTGTTATTGGAAGACAGCCATTTGTTTTGGTATTGTCTACAGCTGCTTTTGTGCAACAATGGCAGAGTTGAGCATCTGTGATGCGATCATCTGGTTCGCAAAGCCAAAAATATTTATTCTCTGGCCTTTTACAGAAAAAAGCACTAGACAACCCAAAAGTAGGATTTGCATAAATGTGTAATTCACTCATTTTTGATAAAGAGTGGCTAAATATTTTGTCTCTAGGCTATAACATAAAAATGCCAGAAACTTGGTTTTTACCTTGAAGATTTTCCTTCTGCAACAAAGAGTTGAGTTGATTCATAGAGTTAAAGACGAGAATGGACTCCACAGATGCTCTATATCGCCCAGAATGCTCACTGCCAGCATTCAGCCCCAGGCTTTGAATCCCTTGGCTGGTCTCCATCCCTTCTAGGAGTAGAAGCTCATGAGGAAGAAAACTGGTAACTATGCTATGAAGAGTCGGCTCCTGAGAATCTGGATCTAGTAACCAGCATGCCACCTGAATAAGATAGCAATGAGAGTATTTTCCCGATTTTTTTCAAAGACACTTTTGTACCTTTAAATTACAAGGGAAAAAAAGAAAGCTCATTTCTAACCTCACTCATTTTCATTTAATACTTATTCAGTGGTCTTCCCGAGAAAGGAAAAGAATAATTGTAACAGGACTCATTTTTGGTAGCAATAACAGCAGCAGCTTTCAAAGAAAGAAAAGCTATTAACTATTCCATTACTACAATGCTTGGCCGATCCAGTTCAGCAGTAGGCCTGAAAAACAAGTGCGTCTCAGCAAATTCAAACCATGTGTCTGAAAACGAAGATGGACTCCTCCACTAAGGCTAATTTGGGCTAAGCTACTGTAATAAAGATGGGCCTATGAGGTTTTAGGTATATTTAGTTCTTTCAACATCAAAAGAAGTGAGGCCTAATAAGTGTTTTACCGTTAAAAGTTTATACACAGAGTTTCAGAAAGCCTCTAGACTTTCCCCTCAGGATGGGGGTCTGTCACCAGGACCATCCAATTACTCATTTGATTGCGATTTTCAGCTTCCTCATGAGACTAGGAGACCTGTAGTTTCTAATACTAGATTAAGCAGATTTAACTGGATTAAAATAAGACAATCTAAGCCCTGTTCATAATTCTGACAATTACTTTACTATGTGTTTCAGTTACTTCTTTTGTAGGTTAAGAATAAATTTTGAGGGCCGGGTGCGGTGGCTCAAGCCTGTAATCCCAGCACTTTGGGAGGCCGAGGCGGGTGGATCACGAGGTCAAGAGATCGAGACCATCCTGGTCAACATGGTGAAACCCTGTCTCTACTAAAAAAATACAAAAAATTAGCTGGGCATGGTGGCATGTGCCTGTAATCCCAGCTACTCAGGAGGCTGAGGCAGGAGAATTGCTTGAACCCAGGAGGTGGAGGTTGCGGTGAGCCGAGATCGTGCCATTGCACTCCAGCCTGGGTAACAAGAGTGAAACTCCATCTCAAAAAAAATAATAATAATAAATTTTTATAGGGGAATATTAAATGAAATATTCTGATGTAAAAGTTAACATGTTTCTTAACTGAGTCATCATTATGAAGAGTTCATCATACTTTGCTATTATAAAGGAAAGTTCTCAGGAGCCCGTAAGGGGATTTGCCTCTATGCTAAATGGCCACTAACTACAATCCTTTTTGACATTTTGTTCACACACTTTTCCAATTTTCTGCCTGTACCATCATGAAGATTTAAAACATCCTGCTATCATAGACCTAAAGCTAAACTGTTCTCACATCACTTCCAATTTACTGTTAGAAAACTTAGGATTTATGACCCAAATTAAAAATCTCTGAGGAAATACATACAAACTTTAGGGCTCAGAATTTGTGACATCTCTGTTTTTATCTACACGGAGGTATTTGGTGCATGAAATTTTATTCTGGGTAGATGAATGAATAAATGACTACTCTAAAGACTTAAGCTACATCATTGAAGCCAAGTAAATACCAATTCACTTAAGAATTAACACTAAAAATGTTTTTTTAAGTATATAAAAATTAAATAAGACACAGAACCTTTGGATCTTCATAACTTTGCTCCAAGGAGATGCCACAAGAAAGAAGAAGAATTTTATAGCTCTGGATGAAGTCATAGATGACAACGGAACGTTCTTCATCAGATTCCTTCTGCAAGCAAGATTGAAGGTGCCAAATCCTGTCTTTCAAAGTCAGGCTTGGATCAAGAGAAGGTGGAACCAAACTGGCACTAATTTCTTTAAACAAACAACAATAAAAAAAGTCAAAAATTACATCCATTCATTTGAAGCAACAATCTTGAGTACAAAGACTGAAAAAGACTCAGAAGCCTAAGGGTCTGGTTCCCCATGATGAGTAATTCAGCATCTTATCCAGGTCGTATCAGCTATGTAGATGAAGTGCTTCATAATCTAAAAATCATGATTCGGGCTAAAAGATTTTTAGTGCTCTACTTAATTAGGTGGGAGAAAGTACAAAACATTAATACTTCGAAAAACAAAATTATATTTCCCAGAATGAGGAGTTAAAGACAAGAAAAGTATTTGGGAATAAATTTTAAAGACAGATTCAGTATGAACATATACTATTCTATGAAAAATAAAAAAAGTTTAAGTAACTACTCACCCCAACATATCTTCCTGCAAAACAACTGAAAATATTTCATGGTTACTAAGGAATAGACACTATACAGCATCCTTTAAAATGTCTCCTTATTAATTTTGCTCCTGTCCAAAACCAACCTATCAGCTCACAGTCAGATCACAGGGTATTTCCAGATTACATCCTTTTGATTCCAAAGACTTCTCCAAAGTGTATATGATTCAGCTACTATAGATCTCTAGCTCAACATTCCCTCTAGATGAGTTTCAGACCCATTCAGTGGAAGGACAAAAGACTGAAAAGAAATTGCCATAGTTTAGTCTTCAAAAGAAACCCTGAAGGTGGCAAGATGGTCCCTGAGGCTTCACTGCCCCCTCAGAGGAAAAGCCCATAGCATTAATAGCCTCGTATGACAGGCAGGGAGAAGTAAGGAAGTGCTTCTTAAAACATTAATTCCAGTTAATATATGCAATAATCTACATGCTAGCTGCTCTCCAAAAAATTACAATTTTTGCTAGGCACAGTGGCTCACACCTATAATCCCAGCACTTTGGGAGGCCAAGACAGGCAGATCACCTGAGGTCAGGACTTCAGCGTGACCAACACAGTAAAACCCTGTCACTACTAAAAAAATACAGTATTACCCAGGAGTGGTGGCACATGCTTGTAATTCCAGCTACTTGGGAGGTTGAGGCAGGAGAATCACTTGAAACCAGGAGGTGGAGGTTGCAGTGAGAAAAAAAAACTTAAGTTCTAAAAATTAATCCTAGGTAAATATCAGGAAACTATTCTCAAAAAACAAGACAAAAAACAAGATCACGACCCTAATGGACGTTACATTAATTATATAGTGACTTAGCCAAATACTCATTACTTACCAGAATGCTTTTGTTCCTTCTGCAATGAAAAATAATAGGCATCCCTTCCACCCCAGCATACTGCCAGTCCAACCACCAAGATGTCATCACAGCCTTTAACAGGAAATCCATAATCTCTAATAGGAGTTTCCTGAGGTGAGCTATCTAAATAAAATGAAAGTCAAATAGTTAAAAATCTCTAAAAATAAAGGTACTATATAAGCTGTTAAAACAATTATAATAAAAAAAAAAACTATCTTTGATAGGCAAAATTTCCAGATCTTAAAATATGCATTATTTGGACAGTCATTTTAAGTGTATGTAAGATCTCTCCAGGCTTCCCATCAATTAAGATAACTGTCACTATGAAAAAGCTACCAAAGATTTGTTAAAATAAATCTATAATGATGACTAAATGGGTATTAAAGAAAGGCTGCATTTCAAATTTTAGACATCAAACAAAAATAAAGATCATTTGTGTACTACAAAAACTTTGCAGCAAATTCAGCAATTCTTAACTAAGAAATTCCAGAAAAATAAAGAATGTTATTCCTTAGTGAAGAAGTATAATTTTGTATCTAGAGTCAACATTTTTTTTCTAAAATAATGTATCTCCAATTTTATAAAGGCCAAGAATCAGTCTGTCCTATTGATAATTATATCCCTAGTACCAGGAAAAAAACTGGCACATAGGAACCTCGTACATGTGTATTAAATTTAGGTGAACTTTTTTGTTTTTTTGGAGACGGAGTTTTGCTCTTGTTGCCCAGGGTGGAGTGCAATGCCGCGATCTTAGCTACCACAGCCTCTGGCTCCTGGGTTCAAGTGATCCTTCTGCCTCAGCCTCCCAAGTGGCTGGGATTACAAGCATGCACCACCACAACCTGGCCTCTGCCTCCTGGGTTCAAGTGATTCTCCTGCCTCAGCCTCCTGAGTATCTGGGATTACAGGCATGCACCACCACACCTGGCTGATTTTGTTTTTTCAGTAGAGACAGGGTTTCTCCATGTTGGTCAGGCTGGTCTCGAACTCCTGACTTCAGGTGATCCGGCCGCTTTGGGCTCCCAAAGTGCTGGGATTACAGGTGTGAGGCACCACACTTGGCCTTAGGTAAACTTTTTAAATCCCTCTAGCCTCTATGATATAGAAAACGTGCTCCATTGTTTGTTGCATGAAAAATCGAAAGTGCTATTCAACACTAAAGTACATAAAAGTTGTGGCTAATACATCTGCTCCATGAATTGAAGATCAGACAAATACTCAAAGCTTTATGAACAAATTAACTCATAAAATATTGAAGTTTAATAACTCTAATCAAACATCTGATTTCCACAGCAGGTTTTCAAGCTGACTATAATTAGTCACCATGATCCAGAATGCAGAGTTCATGCAATAAAACAGGACTATACATAGCCTTACTCAACCAAAAGTTTCAACTCTCTCAACACCTGGAAGAGCTCCACAAGGTTTTGGCAGCAACATATCAGTATACCATTCATGAATATCAATGGAGGTCTAAGTTCTGCTTGAGATAAGTCTTGGAAAATGTAGCTAATGTACACTGTGAAGAACATGGTTCCTATTAGCAATGTACTTTGTAATTACATAAGCAAACAAGAATATTATAATTCAATAGAAAATAATTCATGAGACCAGGCGCAGTGGCTCATGCCTGTAATCCCAGCACTCTGAGAGGCCAACATGGGCAGATCACTCGAGGTCAGGAGTTTGAGACCACCCTGGCCAACATGATGAAACCCAGTCTGTACTAAAAATACAAAAATTAGCCGGGCATGGTGCACAAGCCTGTACTTCCAACTACTTGGGAGGCTGAGGCAGGAGAATCCCTTGAACCCAGAAGATAGAGGTTGCAGTAAGCCAAGATCGAGATCATGCCACTATACTCCAGCATGGGCAACAGAGCAAGACTCCATCTCAAAAAGAAAAAAAAATAATAATAAAAAAAGAAAGAAAGAAAAAGAAAGAATTCATGAGCACTGATGATTAATAAAAACCATTATGTTACAACACTAATATACCATAAAAGAAATGTCACATTCATACTCAAAATAAATATTGTCTTTATTTTCATAAACTTTTATTCTGCTATATATTACATGTACTTCTTACACTGGAGGGCAACTACCATTATTAATTTAGGTGTGCTGAATAAATAAGGCTGTTCTACACATAAATCCACAGAGGAAATACATACTACAATTTGAATAGATCATATTTAACACTGAGAAATCTAAATCTTATCTCAGTCTACTGATTAGTTCATAAATATGAAAAAAATAAAATAAAATCTTACCTTGCTTAAACCTACCACCAATAGTAGCAGTTTTAGAAGATGTTAAACTTCTAATCTTTTCACAAGCCAGTGAGATGGAAAATTGCTTTTTGCATCGCCACTCTTTAATGAATGTTTGAAAAAGATTTCGGTCACTTGCTACATCAATTATGGCCAAACTTTCTGAACTGCTTGAGGCTGGAGTTAACTGTAATCCATTCTGTGACAACTGAAGTGAAAAGCTTGTGTCATTAATAGGGCTGTTGTCTTTGAACCCATTTCTCTCTGGACTTAAATCGTGGTTCTTAATATCTGAAGGTGAGCCAAGTAAATAACTTGCACCAGGTTGTAAAACAGTATTAGTTTTCCAAAGGTTTACAGATGTTTCAAGAATCCCCGGAAATGTCAGCTTACAAGCAGATGTTGGAATGGGTGTAGGAGGAATAAGACCATTATCAACTATACAGTGTTCTTTATGAGGTAAGAGGGATGAGCTTTTACCATGATTGGCATTGTTTTCTGGCACCTCAATCTTATTTTTTACTTCATTATTAGAAGAAAATGAAATTTCCTGCACTTGATTTGTCTCCAAGTTTGAAATAACTTCTTGTTCTTCATTTAACTCTGTATTTTTTCCATTCAAACTTGACAAGTTTACAGTCATTTTTAGCTTTTCATTTTCTAGAGGACTGGACACTTTATCTAAAATCATTTGCAGTCCTGGACTTAAATCAAATGATGACCCTGACCACATGAATGAATTACTTTGCCTGGTCCCAGTTAATTTTGATTTTTCAGCCCTTTCATCTTGATCTCCTCCATCTTGATCACCTTGGTGGTGCTCATCAAGTACTGGATCACTCAGTCCTAACGCTCTAGGAGATACTACAGTACAATGTTTCTCTTGTATGGGAAATATATCCACACTGTCCAAAGCTTCAACCATCTGAACAGAATCCATTTCTGAAAATATAATAGATTCATCATTGGAAAAAGTCAACTGCTGGTGGGTGTCTTGATTGTCATTTACATTTGATTTTTTAATTAGGTCTTCTTGTTGTAGACACAGAGAATCACTAAAATGGTTTGATGTTACTTTTGAAGGAAGGGTTTTTTTCGTTTCCACATCAGGTAGTTGTTCTTTTACTAGATAGTCATCACTGAAACTGTCAAATAGTAAACTATCACTCATGTTCAAACTTGTTTCAGGAACTGGAAGACATTCTCCTTCTATACCAGTGGGAGTTCTCTTTTGGGGAACCAGAGGTGTAACTGGTTTCACAGTTTCTTGTGTTTGATAAACTTGAAGGAAACTATTTAATTGGGAATCAGTAACAGAAAGTTCATTGTTTTTAAAACAAAGACCATTTTCCTCCAATAATATCGGAGAATGAAAAATTGGGCTTTCTGGAGTCAGGATCTCAACCCCATGTGAATCAGTGCTTTGTTTCATAGGACCTACAGTCTTAAGGTTCAAATGATCTATCTTTTTCACTCCTAGAGGATGCTGCTCAGCAGGAAAAGTAATGTGACACTCATTCTGAAAAGAGTTCATTGAGTTCTGTTTGACTAAGCTCTTCTGCATTATCCCTGCTGCCAGGCTGGTGTCCTCTGCTCCTAGTTTGGCACTTTCAGTTGCCATCTGTTGTATTATTTTCTCTGACTGAGAATCCAGGTAGAAACTATCTTCAAAACCACAGAGGACTAAAGCTGAGTCAGCAGCATTATTTTTAGTTTTGTTTGTTGTATAATCACCTGTTTTTTCTTGTAGTCTAGAAATATTTAGAAAATTCTCACGCTGGCCTCCTGATTTGCTAAGTGCTCCAGTTGATAGAAATACTCCACTGGGTATTTCAGTTCTGCTTATATCATCTCCTAATGCCTGAAAATCACTTGGATTATTTTCCTCTGTATTAAGCTTTATCCTTTCACAACTGACAGTAGTAACATTTAAGTCTCCATTTATATAACTACTGACTGCCTCACAGGGCATTTGTTTCTCTATTATATTTTTCTGTTTGGTAAAAGTGCTTGTCTGTTCATTAGACTGCTTTGGAGGGTATCGGTTAATAGGATGGGTGTCATGGTGTTTCACATAAACATTCTGGTTTTTTGAATCATTTTGTATCACCACTTCATTTATTTTTTCCACCTCAACAGCTTCGCCTCTGCCTTTTTCACTAACCACACTAGTGGCCTGACAGGTCCCATTTTTACTCTGAGATCCTGAGATGAAATGTTTCACAAAATTATCATTAGTTAGTGAACAACTTTGCTTTATTTGTAATGCGAATGATGTTTTGTCATCTTTTCCCACACCACTCAAATACATGTTTTTAGCAAATGGCCCTGAACTTCTACATTCTGTATTCTTTTCATCTAAGCTAAATGAGTCTTCACAAAGCATAGAATTAGACAGAGTGTGTCCCTGTAAATTGATTCTACACGCTCCAGAGACTTTCAGGGGGCTGCTGTGCCTGGATTGCTTTAGACGCTTTCTGTGTTTCCAAGACTGAAAATTTCTACTCATCTTTTCTGAACTGAAATTCAAAGGTGCCTTTTTTGTTTTCTCTGAAAAAGTTTGAACAACATTCTTAATGCTTGTTTCCCCCTCATTCTGAGAGGCTCCTGGCTTCTCTTTATTTATATCCAAAGAAGCCCGTTTTCTTGCTCTGAAAATGGAATGTCTCTGATGTTTTTGATTCCTATCCTGGAAATTAAAATTAAAGGAACTTGTATGCTCTCTACTCTTATTTAAGTCTTGCACTATATTTGGTGAATGCTTAATATAAGAATCAATAAATATTGTGTTATTTTTGTTCTTTGATGTTAATTTTTTATAAGAACTCTTAGTTTGGGATATAAATGTGTGTTCCTTTACTTCTGACTCACTATGAGTCAATGAACATGTACTAGAATATGCATATGGATTCCATTGCACTCCCATTTCAACCAAGTCCTGCTGCAGAATCATTCTGGCTTCTTCCACTATAAGGGCTGCTGCTTCCCTTTCAGTTAAACCTTTTCTGCCAGTCACCCAGATAGTTCGCATATTCCGACGTTCTTCAACTGCTTCCTCTTCCTCATCCACTGCCTTCCGGGCACTACACAAGGAGATGGGAAAAAACAGAAATGAATTCATTCATTCGTATAGCAAATATTTATTAAATATTCAACCTGAGTTGCTCTAGGAACTGAAAAATAACAATGAAGAAGAGAGAGAGAGAGAGATGTATCTGCTCTCACGGCACTTACATTCCAGCTGGGGAATTCCGAAAATAAACAACAGTTTAAAGTGCATTCTGTATTAACTGGTGATAAGAGTTGTATAAGAAAGGTATAAGAAAGGAGTGGGTGGTTCTGTAGTTTTTAAACGGTATAATCAAGGAAGGCTTCAGTAAGACAGATTCTTTAAGTAGAAGCCTTTAAAAAAGTGAAGGCCATAAAACATTCATTGAAAAACATCCAGCCAGGTGCTGTAGCTCATGCCTATAATCCCAGCACTCTGGGAGGCTGAGGAAGGAGAATCACTTGAGGCCAGGAGTTCGAGACCAGCCTGGCCAATATGGTGAAACCCTGTCTCCACTAAAAATACAAAAAAATCAGCTGGGCGTGGTAGCAGGCACCTGTAATCCCAGCTGCTTGGGAGGCTGAGGCATGAGAATTGTTCAAACTTAGGAGACATTAGAGTGAGAAAAGATCGTGCCATTATATTCCAGCCTGGGCAACAGAGCAGTACCCTGTCTCATTTAAAAAAATAAAAATAAAAAAGCCTGGGCATGGTGGCTCACATCTGTAATCCTATCACTTTGGGAGGCCAAGGTGAGTGGATCACCTGAGGTCAGCAATTCAAGACCAGCCTGACCAATATGGTAAAATCCTGTCTCTATCAAAAATACAAAAATTAGGCAGATGTGGTGGCATGCGCCTGTAGTCCCTACTTGGGAGGCTGAGACAGGAGAACTGCCTGAACCCAGGAGGCAGAGGTTGCAGTCAGCCAAGATCACACCACTGCACTCCAGCCTGGGAGACAGAGCAAGACTCTGTTTCAAAAAAAAAAAAAAGAAAGAAAACAAATCCTTCTACACAATACACAATATAAACTCTGGACAAAATATTTGAAGGGACTAGAAAATGAAAAAAGAAAGCAGAAACTGGAGGGGGATTGAGACTTGGAAGAAAGAAATGGCAGTGGGTGAATTTTCACTTTTTACCTGAAGGCAGGGCCCAGTTGGCACCCTGTAGGTTGGCTAAAAACTCAGATAAAAACCTGGAGTCCACTGACTGACAGAAGTCAGAGGAGAGCTAAAAGTAACTATATTACTTGGAAATTGAAGACAGTCAAGAATAGATAACTAGAGAAGAACAACTCCAAATTCTTCAGATAAACTTTGCCCAAATCTCTGGCTGACCTCTAAACCGTGCAAATGTGGAGAGATTCCAAGTGGCCAGTTAGAAGTCTAAACCAAGAGTCTTCAACCCCCTAGCTGTAGACCAGTACCAGTCCCCGGCCTGTTAGGAACTGGGCCACATAGCAGGAGGTGAGCTGCAGGCAAGTGAGCATCGCTGCCTGAGCTCTGCCTCCTGTCAGAAGAGCTGCAGCAAACCTTGCAGTGAACTGCACATGCAAGGACTCCAGGTTGTGCACTCCTTATAAGTATCTAATTGTTTCATCCTAAAACCAAACCATCTCCACCACCCCACTACACTTACCACCCCCTGGACTGTGGAAAAATTATCTTCCATGGGGAAGAGATATCCCATCCCTTCCCACACACGTTAAGGTCTCAGACCCGGGAGTCAGGTTTAAAATGAGTGGCAGGGAAGAAACACTGAACTGGAAATTAAATTGATGCTTCCATCTAAAACAAATTGTTTAATACCTGAAAATAAAACTGGTTGTTAGTACCTGAAAGTAATAAAATACTTATAGGATCTGCCTGAGATTTCATGTAAAAGTGAGTTAAACAAAACAGTGGTAGAAAAAATAATTAAGCTATTCCTTGATTTATATACTGAGTCTAGCCCATTCAATAAATGGTTATTCAGACATAAACACAGACAAAAAAAAAAAAAAAATCAAGGAATCTTCTTACAAATTGTTTTGAGGAACTAGCATTCCTAAGAACATTTCAGAGGAATGTATTCTAAAATGTTCTTGCCTAAAGAAAGTGTAAGATGAGCCCCAGATGTATAATGAAATCACATTAAAATTATCAAAATCCATCAAAGCAGAAAGCATTGATACCAAACTTTTGCTCAGTCATTTTTTTTTTTTTTTTGAGACATAATCTTACTCTGTCACCCAGCCTGGAGTACAGTGGCACTATCAGGGTTCACTGCAGCCTCGACCTCCCAGGCTCAAGCAACCTTCCAGCCTTACAATCCCAAGTAGCAGGGACTACAAGCACATGCCACGATGCCCAGCTTTTTTTTTTTTTTTAATTTTAGTAGTAATGAGATCTTGCTCTGTTGCCCAGGCTAGCCTTGAACTCCTAAGCTCAAGCAATCAGCCTCAGCCTCCCAAATTACTGGGATCACAGGTGTGATCCATCATGCCCAGCCCCACTCAGCCATTCTAGTAGGAATGTTTTTAAGTCATGTATTATTTTTTAAATATACAAAATAAAAAGTAATCCTCAAGGGGAAAAAAGTAGCCATATTTCCTTCCACTTACACCAAGTATATCATAAGATTTGAGAAAAATACTGTAATATATTATTATTTAAAAATTGACATAAGAACAGAAAAAAGAATTGACATGATTTTTTTTAAATTTAATAATCCCATGTAGGTAAAGGTATTTTCCTACCTTTTGAAAGGCAGAGCATTTTTCAGAATCACCTCCACCTCTGCAATATTTGCTCTAGCAAGGTCTGCCACTGTAAGAAAGCCAGAAGCATAGAGAACCCTGGCACTCTGAGCATTCAGTAAGGATACCCGAATCAGGTCACACAGCTCCCTCTGGATGCCAAATGTAAGACGCTTCTGAAATTGGGAAAGAAGTAGTTCCATGTTGTGCCAGCCCAGACGGTTGGAAAATACTGTAATCATCCCTAGAATATTCATAGAATATTTGTTGAATTAAAATTTTGTTTTACAGACCAATTCTCCATTTCTTTAGATGTATTTATATTTTGTTTTGTTTTTCCTGCAAAACTGTAAGGTTTAACAAGGTCCAAGGTGTAAGTTAACAAGGGAGCAGACATATATTAAGGGCCTTAACTAGTCGGACAATAAATGCACTAAGTTTTATGTCATCTCATTTATTCATCCAATGCCATCTCATTTAATCTTTTTTTTTTTTTTTTTTTTTTTTTTTTTTGAGAAGGAGTTTCGCTCTTGTTACCCAGGCTGGAGTGTAATGGCGCGATCTTGGCTCACCGCAACCTCCCCCTCCTGGGTTCAGGCAATTCTCCTGCCTCAGCCTCCCGAGTAGCTGGGATTACAGGCACACGCCACCATGCCCAGCTAATTTTTTATATTTTTAGTAGAGACGGGGTTTCACCATGTTGACCAGGATGGTCTCGATTTCTTGACCTCGTGATCCACCCACCTCAGCCTCCCAAACTGTCATTTATTGTTTTTTTTTTTTGTTTTTTTAGAATAATAAGAAAAAGAATAAAGAAGAGGAAGAAAGAGAAAGAGGAAGAGGGAGAGAGAATGGGGGTATTGCTTTGCTGCCCGGGCTAGAATGCAGTCTAAATATGGGTATGCCTATAATTGTCCTTAATAATGGAGACATGGAAGAAAATGAGGGAAGAGAGTAACAAACAAGGAGCCAACCGACATTTCGTTTAAACTTCTAAGTTGATATGATGTGGTTCTGATAAGAGTGTATATTTTGTGTAAAGTGGAGAGTTCTATAAATGTTAATTACGTTTACTTGTTCCAGATCTGAGTTCAAGTCCTGGATATCGTTGTTAATTTTCTGTCTCATTGATCTGTCTAATATTTTTTTGTTGTTGTTGTTGTTGTTGTTGTTGTTGTTGTTTTGAGACGGAGTTTCACTCTTGTTACCCAGGCTGGAGTGCAATGGCGCGATCTTGGCTCACTGCAACCTCCGCCTCCTGGGTTCAGGCAATTCTCCTGCCTCAGCCTCCTGAGTAGCTGGGATTATAGGCACGCGCCACCATGCCCAGCTAATTTTTTTTGTATTTTTTTTAGTAGAGATGGGGTTTCACCATGTTGACCAGGTTGGTCTCCATCTCTCGACCTTGTGATCCACCCGCCTCGGCCTCCCAAAGTGCTGAGATTACAGGCTTGAGCCACCGCGCCCGGCTGATCTGTCTAATATTAATGTTGAAGTCTCACACTATTATTGTGTGGGAGTCTAAGTCTCTTTATAAGTCTTGTATGTCTGGGTATTCCTGTATTGGGTGCGTGTATATTTAGGACCTTTAACTCTTCTTGTTGTTGCATTGATTCTTTTATCATTATATAATGTCCTTCTTTGCTTCTTTTGATCTTTGTTGCTTTAAATACTATTTTATCAGAGGCAAAAATTGTAACTTCTGCTTTTTATTTATTTATTTTTGCTCTCTGGTTGGTTGGTGAGTCTCTCTCCATCCTTTGTTTTGAGTCTTTGTGTATCCTTGAATGTGAGATGGGCCTGGATGCAGCATACAGTTTTAGTTTTTTGTCCAAATTGCCTGTCTTTGAATTGAGGAATTTAGTCAATTTAAATTTAGAATTAATAATGATATATGTGAGTTTAATACTGTCATTTAACATTAGCTGGCTATTTTGCCCATTAGTTGATGTAAATTCTTCATTGTATTGATGTTCTGTACTTTTTGGTATTTTTTAGAAAGGCTGATACTGTTTGTTCCTTTCTATGTGTAGTGGTTCTTTCAGAAGCTCTTGTAAAGCAGGCCTGGTGATGATGAATTCTCTGAGTGCTTGCTTGTTCGCAAAAAACTTTATTTTACCTTCACTTATGAAGCTTAGTTTGGCTGGATGTGAAATTCTTGGTTGAAAGTTCTTTTCTTTAAGAATGTTGAATATTGGTCCCCACTCTCTTCTGGCTTGTAGGGTTTCTGCTGAGAGATCTGCTGTGAGTCTGACAGGCTTCCCTTTGTGGGTAACCTGACCTTTCTCTCTGGCTGCCCTTAGTATTTTCTCCTTCATTTCAACCCTGGTGAATCTGACGATTATGTGCCTTGGAGTTGCTCTTCTTGAGGAATATCTTTGTGGTGTTCTCTGTATTACCTGGAGTTGAATATTATCCTGCCTTACTAAGTTGGGAAAATTTTCCTGAATAATATCCTGAAGCATATTTTCCAGCTTGGATTCATTCTCTTCGTCACATTCAGGTACACCTATCAAGCGTAGATTAGGTCTTTTCACATAGTCCCATATTTCTTGGAGACTTTGCTCATTCCTTTTTATCCTTTTTTCTCTAATCTTGTCTTCTTGTTTTATTTCATTGAGTTGGTCTTCGACCTCTGATATCCCTTCTTCTGCTTGATCAATTCGGCTGTTAAAACGTGTGCATACTTCACGTAGTTCTCGTATTGTGTTTTTCAGTTCCATCAATTCACTTATTTTCCTCTCTAAATTTTGTATTCTTGTTGACATTTCGTCAAACCTTTTTTCAAAGTTCTTAGTTTCTTTAGATTGTGTTTGAACAAGTTCTCTTAATTCACAGAAGTTTCTTATTATCCACGTTTTGAAACCTGCTTCTGTAATTGGAACCCACTCGTTCTCCATCAAGCCTTGTTTGGTTGCTGATGAGGAACTGGGATCCCCTGCTGAGGGAGAGGCGTTCTGATCTTGGGTATTCTCAGCCTTTTTTGGCTGTTTTCTTCCCTTCGTTGTAGATTTATCCATCTGTGGTCTTTATAATTACCGTCTTTGTAATTGGGTTTCTGAGTGGACGTCCAACTTCTTGATTCTCAGCGCCGAAATCTGAGCAACCCACTGCGCTGACCAAATCAGCGGCGTTAAGATTGATGGTGCTTTTCTGACTCTGCACCAAGAACCGATGCTCCGAGGCGCCGGCAAAACCGCCTCGCCGGTCACAAGAGTCGCGCTGGCGACCCGTGGGGCTCCTCCGCTGGGAATCTCCTGGTGCGTGAGCAACAAGAATTCATGTGAAGGTGTGGCGTCCTCTCGTTCTTTGCGTTTTCAGTGGGAGCTACAATCCCGAGCTGCTAGTGATCAGCCATCTTGGATTTCTCTCCCTGTCATTTATTCTTAATCCTGAAGTTAACAAAAGAAAACTGAGGCAGAGCACAAACCAAGAAGCCCTCACCCTAATTCATTCCTCTCAATCTCTCTCTTAAGCAAAAGAGAACTCTTAAAAACCTGTAAGTGACTCTTTCCACCTAGAGGAAAACGAGAGTTGGTTTAAATATTCAATTGCTGAGAGAACTATAAAGAGTGGAGTTCCCACCTGCACCTTCTTCAAAGAAACGTTGCTGATTGCCAGTAACCAGTTACATTTTAAAAAAAAAAGGTTGTTGAGCTCAATAGCTGTACCGTCTTGGGATAAAGAAACCAAAACAAGTACCATTTCATAAAGAAAGACACTTCTCTATGAGAACATAAACCCCTAGAGGCGGTCTTTCATCTTTGCTGCCAGTACGTCTGAGTCCCTCCCTTCTTACCACTCCCTCTTTTCATCTTCCCGGAAGTGCTCCCTCATAAGCACACATCTTCACAATGAAACCTCTTACACATACAAATGCACACACCCTCTTGTAGCCCATAGTTTCCTGAAGTTAACACTTCAGGAAGGGCTTGTAAGGATTCCTTAGTAAAATCACATTCAGAATTTCTCTGCTTGCTTAGGGTTTAATACATTAAGGCAGACCAGTGGTTCTTTAGATCATTTTTAGAACAGTCAGATAGGAGTTCAGAAATCCCTCTCCATCTTCCATCCTTCTCCTCAACAACATGTGTTAATCAATACCTTAATGAGGAAGGGGAGAACACAGAGAACTCTATTTCTATTTCTTCTTGCAACAGGAAAATGAAAAGAAAAAGAAAAAGGAAAAGAAAACAGAAAGGAGAAGGATAGTCAGCAGGTTGTTAAGGAATAGAGGTCCAGACATTCAGCTAATTACCAATCCTCTGTAACATGGTACTGAGCCCTGAGGAACCACAGTTTGATTTTTTTTTTTTTTTCTGAAATGGAGTTTCAATTCTTGTTGCCCAGGCTGGAGTGCAATGCCAAGATCTTGGCTCACAGCGACCTCTGCCTCCCAGCTTCAAGCAATTCTCCTGCCTCAGCATCCCAAACAGCTGGGATTACAGGCATGCACTACCACGCATGGCTAATTTTGTATTTTTAGTAGAGATGGGTTTCTCCATGTTGGTCAGGCTGGTCTCGAACTCCTGACCTCAAGTGATCTGCCTGCTTCGGCCTCCCAAAGTGCTGGGATTATAGGCATGAGCCACCTGGCCCAGCCAGTTTTGAATTTTCTGATGATGACAAGAACTGTACACAATTATAGCACTTTTTTTTTTATTTTTTATTTTTTGAGACGGAGTTTCGCCCTTGTTACCCAGGCTGGAGTGCAATGGCGCGATCTCGGCTCACCGCAACCTCCGCCTCCTGGGCTCAGGCAATTCTCCTGCCTCAGCCTCCTGAGTAGCTGGGATTACAGGCACGCGCCACCACGCCCAGCTAGTTTTTTTTTTTTGTATTTTTAGTAGAGACAGGGTTTCACCATGTTGACCAGGATGGTCTCGATCTCTCGACCTCATGATCCACCCACCTCGGCCTCCCAAAGTGCTGGGATTACAGGCTTGAGCCACCGCGCCCGGCCTATAGCACTTTTAAAGAGGCCTACAGCCAGGCTCTGTGGCTCGCGCCTATAATCCCAGCACTTTGGAAGGCCAAGGTGGGCTGCTCACCTAAGGTCAGGAGTTCAAGACCAGCCAACATGGTGAAATCCCATCTCTACTAAAAATACAAAATTAGCCAGGCATGGAGGCACACACCTGTAATCCTAGCTACACAGGAGGTTGAAGCAGGAGAATCTCTTGAACTCAGGAGGCAGAGGTTGCAGTGAGCCAAGATCATACCATTGCACTCCAGCCTGGGTGACAGAACAAGCCTCTGTTTCAAAAAAATAAATATATTTAAAAAAAAAAAAAAAAAAAAAAAAAAGAGGCTTACAATAAAATGGAATTTGAAAAAATAAGTAATCTTGACTTCAAATCACAGTCTTAAATAAATGTGAAACCCTTTGTTTAACTGACCTGCATAAACAGCAGCCGACTGTTGCAAAGATTGAATCTGCCCACGATTGCATCCATATTTTTGAATAATTTTCCTTAAGGGAACTTCACTGATTAAATCTAATAGCACAAGACTGGTGAAAAACCTGGGAATAAATCACCAAAAACATGGTAAGAGATCATTTATGTCTACTAGGAGATACTGTGTGTTGCAAAACGACTAAGAACCTGAAAGGCAATAGAGAGCTTATATAATACATTCTGGTAAGATTGTTAATTGAAAATAGGTTTGGGCCGGGCGCGGTGGCTCAAGCCTGTAATCCCAGCACTTTGGGAGGCCGAGACGGGTGGATCACGAGGTCAAGAGATCGAGACCATCCCAGTCAACATAGTGAAACCCCGTCTCTACTAAAAATACAAAAAATTAGCTGGGCATGGTGGCACGTGCCTGTAATCCCAGCTACTCAGGAGGTTGAGGCAGGAGAATTGCCTGAACCCAGGAGGCGGAGGTTGCGGTGAGCCGAGATCGTGCCATTGCACTCCAGCCTGGGTAATGAGAGCGAAACTCCATCTCAAAAAAAAAAAAAAAAAAAAAAAAAAGAAAATAGGTTTAGTGCACAAAGACTGAGATCAATGCTTGCAAAACAAGTTTTGACATGCATTAGCAGTAAAGTAAAAAAATAATGTCTATATAACAAAAAGTTGCCCATATTTAATACTGCTAATACCAAGAAATGACACTTGGTTCAAGAAAGGTGATGGCGCAAAAATTTAAAAGATAACTTGATATACAGTTACATGTATATCATTACTTCAGTAAGATGACAGAATCTAAATACAGCATCCAATTCTGATTTAAAAAACAACAGTAGTGCTGAGCACAGTGGCTCACACCTGTAATCCCAGCACTTTGGGAGGCCCAGGCCGGCAGATCACCTGAGGTCAGGAGTTTGAGACCAACCTGGCCAACATGGAGAAACCGTCTCTACTAAAAATATAAAAAAATTAGCTGGGTGTTGTGGCAGTCCCTGTAATCCCAGCTGCTTGGGAGGCTGAGGCAGAATTGCTTAAACCCCGGGAGTTGGAAGTTGCAGTGAGCCGAGATTGTGCCATTGCACTCTAGCCTGGGCTACAGAGCTGAACTCTGTCTCCAAAAAAAAAAAAAAAAGTAGCAAAAGTAATCCAAGCATATAAATCCTTATAAAATTTATACTTAACCATGTCGTAAATAATATACTAGAGATTAATTTTTTTTAAGAAAAATAATTTCATTATATTTCTTTTTTTTTTTTTTGAAACAGAGTCTGACTCTGTCACCAAGCTGGAGGGCAGTGGCACAATCTCCATTCACTGCAACCTCCCCCTCCCAAATTCAAGGGATTCCCCTGCCTCTGACTGTGATTACGGCTGTGATTACAGGCGCATACCACCACGCCCAGCTACTTATTATTGTATTTTAGTAAAGAGGGGGTTTCACCATGTTGGCCAGGATGGTCTCTATCTTCTGACCTTGTGATCCGCCCACCTTGGCCTCCCAAAGAGCTGAGATTATAGGCGTGAGCCACTGCGCCCATCCCACCTCACCCCACCCACCCCACCTTTTTTTTTGAAACAGAATCTCACTCTGTTTCCCAGGCTGGAGTGCAGTGGCGCAGTATCAGCTCACTGCAACCTCCACCTCCAGGGTTCAAGTAATTCTCCCACCTCAGCCTCCAAGTACCCGGGATTACAGGTGTGTGCTACCAAGCACAGCTAATTTTTGTATTTTCAGTAGAGACAGGGTTTTACCATATTGGCCAAGCTAATCTCGAACTCCTGACCTCAAGTGATCTGCCCACCTTGGCCTCCCAAAGTGTTGGGATTATAGGCATGAGCCATTGCACCCAACCAATTTCACTGCATTTCAAAGAAGTGGCAATTCATCAAAGTAGCTAACAGCCTGTACAATATCTCCATCTGAATCTTTTAATTAGCTCTTCTTCCCTACTGGTAATGCATCACTTCTAAGCATGGTACAAAGCATAAACCCAAGGGAAGTCACAGTAAGTTGGTGGTTCTTCTGAGCCATACCTTCTTTACAAAAGAGAACTAAATATTCTACTTTAAAAGATAAGATTTTTGTATGTAACAGCTGCTAAACTATAAGTTGCAGAAACTAAAATACCAATAACTTCAGAAAATACAGAAAACTGAAAAATCTTATACTCTGCCAAAATTTTGAATTTATTGACAATGAAAGTGACTACAATAGGCATCTACTACATGCAAGACACTGTTAAATACCAGAGAGCCAAGATATCTTGACCTTTACCTTTTATGGATGGCCATTTGTCGGTGCTGTCTCTCAGTTCTGGCTACTACTTTTCCTTTCACACAGCGAGCCAAGAACCCCTCTTCAACTCCCACTAGCTCTGCTACCCTTTTCATAGAAGTTGGCAACTTCTCCCATAAACAGAAAAATCGATACCAATCAATAGTAGTCCAATCCTCAAACACAGGCGTAACCTAAAAGGAAGAAGTATTATTCATTAACTAAAACTATTCCATTAAAAAAAAATTATACACAAACTTCACATTAAAGACAAAAGCCAGGCATGACGGTATGTGCCTATAGTCCTAGCTACTCAGGAGGCTGAAATGGGAAGATCACTTGAACCCAAAAGTTTGAGGCTGCAGTGAGCTGGCCCAACTGACTAGGTGAGACTCTGTCTCTAAAAAAATGAAAAATAAAATAAATAAAATGGCTACGCCCTAAGTGCACGCAAAAAAATAAAAAATAAAAATAAAAATAAATAAATAAATAAAATGGCCAGGTGTTAACGGTTCATGCCTGTAATCCCAACACTTCAGGAGGCCAAGGCAGGAGGATTGCTTGAGCCTAGGAGTTTGAGGCTGCAGTAAGCTATGACTGTGCCACTGCACTCCAGCCTGGGCAATAGCACAAGACTTCATCTTTAAAAAATTACAATAAAATGAAATTACTTAAAAGACAAAGGCCTCAGGATTTATAAAAATGTCTAACTATGATAATACCTCATTCATATGGAAACATCATTTATTCAAGAACAATGCACTGCCAGGAGAAATGGAAAAGAGATCACTAAGGATACAAACTGGATTTTATAGAACCCAAGTCTTTTTTTCTTTTCTTTTCTTTTTTTTTTTTGAGACAAGGTCTTGTTCTGTCATCCAGGCTGGGATCACAGTTCACTGCAGCCTTAACCTCCTGTGCTCAAGCAATCCTCCCACCTCAGCCTCCCAAGTAGCTGGCGCTACAAGGTGAGTGCCACCACATTTGCCTAAATTTTTAATTTTTTTGGAGAAATGGGGTTTTATTCTGTTGCCCAGATTGGTCTCAGATTCCTGGCCTCAAGCAATTCTTCTGCCTCAGCCTCTCAGTGTTGGGATTAGAGGCGTCAGCCACTGCGCCTGGCCAGAACCTAAGTTTTTAATCATAGACACTTCTAATACGAACATTCCAACTGTAGGGACATCCTAAGTATTCTGAGTAATTTTCAAGAAAGAATCAATAACATAGAGGACAGAAAGGAGGAAAGAATCAATATTCAGAGTTGATGTATTATCCAAAATGTCAATACTCAACAAAAATTATGAAACATAAGAAATAGGAATGTGTGTCCCAAACACAGGGGGAAAAGCAGGCAAAATAAATCAAAAGAAATACCTTTGAGAGGGTCCAGCCATTGAAATAAGTAAAGACTTCAAAGCAAACATTATAAATATGATCAAAAAAATCAAAAAAACAAAAACTATGCTTGAAGTAAAAGGCAGGATGACAATGTCTCATTAAGTAGACAACACAATAAGGAGAAAATTATTTTTACAAGAACTGGCTGAGCGGGTGGCTCACACCTGTAATCCTAGCACTTTGGGAGGCCAAGGTGGGTGGCTCACCAGAGGTCAGGAGTTCAAGACCAGCCTGGCCATCATCGTGAAACCCCATCTTTATATATATATAAAAAATACAAAAAAATACAAAAACTTAGCCAGGAATGATGGCACATGCCTGTGGTCCCAGCTACTTGGTAGGCTGAGGTGGGAAGACGGCTTGAACCCAGAAAGTTGAGGCTGCAGTGAGTCATAATTGTGTCACTGCACTCTTGCCTGGGCAACAGAGCAAGATCCTGTCTCAAAAAAAAAGTGCAATAACTAAAATGGAGTTTACTATGTTGCCCAGGATGGTCTTGAACTCTTGAACTCAAGCAATGCTCCTGCCTTGGCCTCCCAAAGTGCTAGGATTAAAGGTGTGAGCCACCAAACCTGGACCTAAAATCGATAATTCACTAGCGAGATCAACAGTATATCCAAGCTGGCATAAGACAGAATCAGCAAACATGAAGACAGATTAATAAAGACTATGCAAACTGACAGACGGGTAGGAGAAAGGAGAAAAAATGGAATATGAGAAACACTAAGTGTACCAACATATGCACAATGAGTACCAGGAGAATATAGAAAGAAAAAGGAAAAATATTTGAAGAAATTATGGCTAAAAGTATTCCAAATTTGATGGAAAACATTTATCGATATTTCCAAGAAACTCGGTGAACTCCAAGCAGGATAAATACTAAGAGATCCACGCAAAGACGCATCAGTCAAAACATTAAAACTGAAGAAAAAAATCTTGAAAGCAGTAAGAAAAAGTCATCACATATGAGAGACACCTGATAAGATTAAGAGCTAATTTCTCACCAGAAACAAGAAGGCCAGAGAAAACAGTGAGATGACATATTCAAACTGCTCAAAGAAAAAAAAATTCTGTCAACTAAACATTGTTTTTTTTTTGAAACACGGTCTGGCTCTGTCACCCTGGCTGGAGTGCAGTGGCACAATCTCAGCTCACTGCAACCTCTGCCTCCTGGGCTGAAGCCATTTTCCCACCTCAGCCTCCCAGGTAGCCGGGACTATAAGTATTGCTGCATACCACCACACCCAGCTAATTTTTTTATTTTTCTGGTAAAGATGGAGTATCACCATGTTGCTGGTCTCAAACTTCTAGGCTCAAGCAATCTACCTGCCTCAGCCTCCCAAAGTGGTGGGACTGCAGGCAATGAGCTACCACGCCCAGCCTCAACTAAGAATCTTATAAAAAGGAGAGTCATTTTCAAAAATTGTAACAGAAACATTTCCAGATAAACAAAATCTGACTAGCCTGGCCAACATGGTGAAACCCTGTGTCCACTTAAAATAGAAAAAAAATTGGGCCGAGCACGGTGGCTCAAGCCTGTAATCCCAGTACTTTGGGAGGCTGAGGAGGGTGGATCACAAGGTCGAGAGATCGAGACCATCCTGGTCAACATGGTGAAACCCCGCCTCTACTAAAGATACAAAAAATTAGCTGGGCATGGTGGCGCGTGCCTGTAATCCCAGCTACTCAGGAGGCTGAGGCAGGAGAATTGCTTGAACCCAGGAGGCGGAGGTTGCGGTGAGCCGAGATCGCGCCATTGCACTCCAGCCTGGGTAACAAGAGCAGAACTCCGTCTCAAAAATATATATATATACACAAAAAAAATTAGCCAGGAGTGGTGGCACACACCTATAATCCCAGCTACTCGGCAGCGAGGCAGGAGAATTGCCTGAACCCAGGAGGTGGAGGTTGCAATGAGCAGGGATTGCACCACTGCACTCCAGCCTGACAACAGAGTGAGACTCTGCCTCAAAAAAAAGGAAAGGGGAAGGGGAAGGGGTAGGGGAAGGGGAAGGGGAAGGGGAAGGGGAAGGGGAAGGGAAGGGGAAGAGAAGGGAAAGGAGAAAGGGGAAAGGGGAAAGGAAGGGAGGGGAGAGGAGAGGAAGGGAGGGGAAGGGAGAGGAAGGGAGGGGAGGGGATGGGAGAAGAGAAGAGAGAAAGAGAAAGAGAAAGAAAGAAATGCTAAAGAAAGCTCTTCAGGTTCAAAGAAACTCACCCAAAACCATATTTTAATTCCAAACAAAAAAATCAAAGAGAATCAACAAAGGGAATTATGTGGGTATATATAAAAACAGTATCATTACATATTACTCTTTTCTTCTCCTGACTGATTTAAAAAGCAACTTTTAAAACAATATGCATATAATTGTAATATATTAGGTTTTTTTGTTTGTTTGTTTGAGACAAGGTCTTACTCTGTTGCCCAGGCTGGAGTACAGTGGTGCAATCTCAGCTCACTGCAACCTCCACCTCCCAGGTTCAAGTAATTCTCATACCTCAGCCTCCTGAGTAGCTAGAATTACAGGTATGTGCCACCACACTTGGCTCATTTTTATGTTTTAAGTAGAGATGGGAGTTTTAACATGATGGCCAGACTGGTCTCAAAACTCCTGACCTCAAGTGGTCCACCTGCCTCAGCATACCAAAGTGCTGGGATTACAGGCATGAGTCACCATGCCCTGCCAATATACATGTAACTGTATTGTTGGGCCTATAAAATATAAAAATTACAATATATTTGTCAGTATCAGTCCACAGGAGGCAGGTAGAAGCAAAGATGTACTGGACTAAGTAAACAACAAGAGATGGGATCTCAAATACATAGAAATAAATGAAGAAAAAAACACAACAGTAAATAAAAATGTTAATGAACCAAACTCTGTAAACGTGTATTTGCTCTCCTTCTCTCACCTTCTCTAAAAATACTAAATTACATAAAATACTAATTATAACAACACAGGTTTGTAACACATAATGATGTAACAGTGGCACAAAGGTTATTCAAAATAGAATATTTCTATATCTCACTGCAATTAAGTTAGTATAAATTTTAAACTGTACCTGATAATACCTTGAGTAACCACTAAAAAAAAGGCCAAAAAATAGAGAAAATTGTGAAAATTTAAAATGTCATAGTCTTGTGCTGCATAATGACATTTTAGTCAATGACAAACTGCATATGATAGTAGTCCCATAAGATTATAATGGAGCTGAAAAATTAAAATTGCCTAGTGACATCATAGTCATCAAAACGTCTAGTATGTTACATTACACTTATCCTTGTATTACAACTGCCTACAGTATTCAGTAGAGTAACATGCCAAACAAGTTTGTAGCCTAGAAGCAGTAAGGTTATACCATATATCCTAGATGTACAGCCCGCTATACCATCTAGATTTTATAAGTACAGTCTACAATATTCACACAACAAAAGTGCCTAACTATGCAATTCTCAGAATGTTTACCTGTCCTTAATTCATGACTATACTAGAAAATATTCCCTTTATTCAAAAAAGCAGTAAAAGAGGTAAAGGGGAACAAATTCTCTGACAATATCAGACTATAGTTGAAAACTTCAGTACCTGACTTTCAACAATGAATAGAACTACTAAGAAAATCAAAAGGAAATAGAAGACTAAGGTAACACTCTTAAGTCAATTAGATCAAAGAGACATCTATAGAACTCCACCAAACCACAGCAGAATGTATAGTTGTCTCTTGTTACCTGTGGGGGACTGGTTCCAGGACCTCCTGCAGATAACAAAATCCGTGATTTTATTTTTAAAATCATTTTATA